AGTTTATTATACTTAATGCTGCCGTCCCCATCAAAGTCCAGGGCCAGCTCATTTATATGACTTGTTAGTCTCTTCTGGTATTTGATACTGAAAACGGTAATTGCTTGTCTGATTGTGTTAATCTTTATATCATTGTATATATATTTATTTGCAATACATTGAGGAATTTTCTTTCTCTTGGTCCATATGTGTTTTTGCCATGTTAACCTTCTGTACAAATGCATCCCCAGGTATTTAGCGTGATCCTCCTGGGGAATTTCCGCTCCATATAATTTGACTAGTGGGCACGTATTTCTTTTAAGCGTAAAATTTGCAAGTGAGGACTTGGTTTGATTCGCTTTTATTCTCCATGTTTCAAGCCATATTTCAATTGAGTCGAGATGTACTTGAAGTTGACTGGATGCTATGTCACAGTCTCTGTGGGTGGACAATACTGCTGTGTCATCTGCATACGTTGCTACTATGGTCTTGTCCATTATGGGAAGGTAGATAGGCCCAGATGGAAATGAAAGTAGACTGTATTTCAAAGGTATATATTAGGTGTTGTACAATGGTCTTTTTTTTAAGGGGGGAAAAATCATCGAATGACTGCTCCCGCCTAGGTGAGGCGGGAGGGAGTGTAAGACTGTTACTGACTAAAAACCACCCCGTTCCTTCTCCTCCACGTCGAGCCGGAGCCCCGGTTACCCGTTAGGTTCTCCGCGACTGTACAATGGTCTAAAGTTATAACAAAATCATGTGATCGTGGTCGCGTTGTTGTAAGGAGTGTTGAGAGCGTATGGGTCGACGCCGAGCCGTCGCGTTGCCAAGCTGCCGCTTCCCACTCTTGATGAAGCATGTGCATCGGAGGTGTTAACAAGTGCGTTAACAGAAGGTTAGAAGTAAATATAGTATACAGATTGGGTCCGAGGATACTGCCCTGCGGTAATCCTGAGTTTATCTTGTGGAGCTCAGAGGTTTCGCCAGCAGATTTTACTTCGAAGCATCGATTCTGGAGATATGACTAGAAAATGAAGTAAAATAAATGTGGAAGTAACTTCTTGATTTTATACAGTGCTGTGATGCCATACTTTATCGAATGCTTGACTAATATCCAAAAACACAGCTGACATCGACTAATCGGTGCACTTGTTCAATTGTTCCGTGGTTCTCTCTGAAGCCAAATTGATTGCTTGGTATGATATTTTCAAGGTATTTCTTCATCATGTTCAGACTGATTCTTTCGAACAGCTTCCCTACTATCGCTAGAAGACTTATAGGTCTGTATGACGTGACCTCTTGAGACGGTTTTCCTGGTTTGGGTATCATGATTATTTGTGCTATCTTCTACTGACACGGGAAATGATACAGTCGTAGGCAAGCATTGAAAATTTTGACTATTGCCATAATGCCCTTTTTGGGAAGGGTTTTGAGGAGGGTCGCATCTATATTATCGTAGCCCGGAGATTTACCTTCCTGTAGATATTTTATTTCTCTATTGACTTCTCTTGGACACATATGCTTTAGCGGTAAACACATTTGCTGAGGGCTTTCAAGATATTTTGTTATTCAGTACTTTGGTCTGGAATTGTGTCCGGAAACAACTTCAAAATTGTGCTTAGATGCTCAGTGAAGGTGAACCTTTTTGATAGGTGGAATGTGGTTGTTAGGCCTCTTTATCTTGTTCGTGGCTTTTCAAAGTGAGTAATTAGTGTCTGCTGTCGGGGTTAGACCTGAAAAGCAAGCTTGAACATTTGAGTTAATTATTGCTCTTGTCATAGCCTTAAGTTCCTCAGAGCATTTATAGAAGGCAGTTTTATCACTGGGATATCTTGTATCATGCCATATATTTCTTAATTAACGTCGTTCACGTATCTATTCTTTAATTGCATTCGGGAACTCTGTAAGACTTTGGGGTATTCCTTTTCGTGCCTTGGTTGATTTGGCGGCTGCATTGTGCTCAATTCTGTTAAAGTTTTCGACCTCTTTTTCTATATCTTTACTTGTTTTAGTTGGATTTTGTAGCTCAATTTCTGATAAGATAACGCTCTGGTATAGTTTCCAGTCCGTGCTTTTCTTATAGTCTTACAGTTATATAAGTCTTACAGGAGCTTTGACTAGTATAATCGATGAGTTTGGGTTTAGAACAACACCTTCTGACCATACGCCAGTTACTGGCGTATGGTCAGAAGGTGGTCATATAATTTCTGCCGATATTGTTTGTAATAAAGAAGTCCAGTAAATCCGGTGTTTTATTTGGGTCTGTTGGCCAATATGTTGGCTCTTTTTGGGTCATACATTCCATTTTACAAGTTGTAACTGCTTTGTAGAGTTGCTATCACGAGGGGAAATGAGCCTCGAACCTCAATATGTATGTTTCGCATTCCAGTCACCTCCACATATGTACGAGGCTTGTTTTGAGCTGGATCATGCGATCCATCATGTTAACCATGACTTGTTGCAGTTTAACGAACATTTTTATCGACTTCAAATAAAGGAGGAGGTACTATGTTTTTTATATTTGTTTGTTTGTTCGCCGATTACTCCGCCATTTGTGAACCGATTTCCACAAGTCATGTTTTGTTTTAAAGGGTATAGGTACTTCCGAGATGGTACCATTTCCATGAGGTCAGGATCTGATGATGGGATCCTAGGAAAACCGAGGGGAACTTTCGAAAATTGTAGAGGCGAGTAATGCGTCTATTATGTTTTTCAAGTAGGATTTTTAAACACTACAATTTGATAAGAGTCTGGAGTCGACCTTATGATGGAGCCGACAGACAGTCGAAAGAACTCCTCAGCGGTTTATATTAACTACCTTATGTTTGGGCTTGATTAATTTGTATCGATGAGGACTTTACACCTAGATAGGGTGGGACTGTCATTTGGCGCTCGCGACTTGCTACCTGTAAGCAATACGTCCTGTCGGCACGTTTGCCACGTTTGTTTAGGATAAGGGTGATTTTTTATAGAGGCTTTCTACCTCTAGGCACGGGCGGTGAAGCCAATGTCCCCTATTTCATGAGACATGACCATGAAGTTGCGGGTTGAGAAGATCATTTCCTATCTCCTTCAGATACTGGCTTATTAGGTGAGCAGGATTAGGTTATTTAACCGCCGCCTGAGACTCGGCGTTGATCTTTTATGCCTGGTATGGTCTTCTCTCAACTAACCGTCCTTCTTTTTCATTCGGTCTTGGGACCGTCAATGGTGGGGTTCAAATAAGAAAAACATATTTTTTATATACGTTTTATTTTACCCATTTTGATACAGGTACAAATATGACAAACATTAATACGACTGTAATGAACATACATCTAATCAGTCTAATAAGGCATACAAAGTAAACTTCACTAAAATACACAGGTACCAACGAAGTACATAAGTACACGGAATATGTTTGTATAGGCGACAGCAAAGACAAGTATATAAACCAGTATAAAATGGACTCCGGGCATAAAGATTATTGAACGCCAGAGTATACATGTTTCACCATAACTACAGGTTAAACTGTCAAACACCAAGCGGTCACCGGTGACCGCGACCTATTGTTCTTTAATTGTGTCTATAAAACCGGTACTCGACGAGTTAAGTGAATGATGTGATGTAAAGTAGTCATATTTTTTTATAAAATAAATGTGACATTAGCGTATTTGTTCATGTTTAATAACCCAATTCGTTCATACAAAATTGGTTTCTAAGTATCTAAAAATAAGGCCTATAATAAAGTGGATGAGAGAGGACGCCGGTGTCTTCTCGGGGATTTAGAAGTCAATAATTATTTTGTTATGTTAATGTGACAATGGCGTTCAAAAACTAAAAAAATCTACACTAGTTTATATTCTTGTTTATGCCGTCGACTTCAGTAAGCTACGGGAACAAATTACATTACCCGTATTTTTTTTATATTACATTATATATGCCTTTGCTCACATAATGGTTATGATTAGATTATTTTACTACATATTACCATTTTAATACACAAATCAAGCGTAAAATACTATCTCACTTGTATACTTATATTTTTAAAATCCTTTTGTAGCTCGTAACTTCTTCAACTTAGTCACAACCCCCAATGGGATTCTACGAAATCAATGAGACAATAAAAAGTGGTATACACCAGCAAATAATAAACAAACTATTTTCAAGGAACCATACACGTATTGTACAAAGATTATAAAACTCTAATTAGGAATAACCACGTTATTTTGTTAGCGTTAAGGTCAAGTTTTCTATGGCAGTTTGAAGAATAAAATATTAATTTCAATTTAAATTACACTTATACATAAGTAGTTCTGTTATTTATCTGAGGAGGAATCACATTAACTTATTTTTTATATATCTTAGTAATACAAATATATTATGTAGATATTAGGTATGTGAGTAGGTACTGAGGGCTTAGTACAAGTTAGTTTTACGTTTAAAGTAATCGAAACGCGACCGCCTTGCGCTCTCCGATTGGTTGGTTCCGGAGCCGACCTATCAGAGCGGCGAACGCGTCCTCCTACTTGTACAAACGCCTCAGGTAATAGTGGTAAGGTAAAAAATAAAACGTTGCTCTCAACAAAGTATACCTAAAACGACATAAATTAAAACATTTATAAAATCTTAAAAATAAAAGTTTTAAAATATACCTACGAGACATTTGTGAATTTTAATTTGTAAATAAGTATTTTAAAGCAATCAATCAATCTGTAATTCGTCAAAAATTAATTTATAAAAGATTCCTTTCTAAACCGTTACAATTATAACACACTTTAAAAAAATGTCTGCTAATTCCATAGGTATATTTAAATTAAAATTAACATGTTGGCTTTGGAAAAATAACCTACAAAACTTATAGTACGCCATAGAGTACATTCTATCCTAAAAAGCCATACATACGATTGAATAAAACGTTTTGTTAATTAAAAAATACCACACAATTTCCAGAGCAAACATATTAACTAGGTGTAGATAAAATGCAATTCCTAAATCACAATAATATTAATTATAGGTATCACAAGCTTTACATTTTATCTTTAAACGTCTAAAAGCATCTTCCAGTTGAACCTTCCCGAGCTTGAGTTGATGGAAGGAGGGCAAGGAGGGCAGACGACCTCCCAAGGGTTGTCCTTCATCGCTCCGAGGGCACAGTACGGCACTCTCAGAAGATTCTCATGGATTTTGTAGGGCTTGTGGTCGGTTCTTTTCTCATCGAGAAGTTTAAGCGACACTGCCATTAAGTCCAGTGTTGCTGCGTGTCCGACGAATATGATGTTGCCACCTGACAAATAACGAGTAATAAATATGTGAGTAAGCATGTGTCAGCTCTAACTTTGAGTATTGGCATCTAATCTTATCACTACATCGCTACATAGTATAAAACAAAGTCGCTATCCGCCGTCTGTATGTCCCTACGTATGCTTAGATCTTTAAAAATACGCAACGAATTTTGATGCCGTTTTTTTTTAATAAATAGAGTGATTCTTAAGGAAGGTTTATATGTATAATACATGCATATTGCACCCATGCGAAGCTGTGGCGGGTCGCTAATACTATTATAATATAGCTTTATATTACAAAGCTGAAGGGTTTATTTGTTTTTACGCGCTAATCTCAGGATGGTCCGATTTGCGAAATTATTTTTGAGTTAGATTATTATCCATTAATCGAATAAGGTTAAAACCATGTTAGGATCAACTGGTGCCGAGCACACCGGCTGAGGTAATAAGGCATATCATATTCTGTTAATTATTATTTCTTGTAGTTTAAAGTAAGCCTTCTGCTATCGGAAGTATAGATGAAGACCAAAATATGCAAATAGTATGTTGTGTCAGCGTCACAATGCGGCGATCACCGAACAAGAAACATATCTATACTACATTTGAATTCAAACTAATATTATAAATGGGAAATGAAGTTTGTTTGTTAGTTTTTACGCTTTATTTGAACTGATTTTCTTGTACGTTTGATTCATACAGGTAAAGCCGATCTAGAGAAGAATTAAAAATAAATTTTATCCGATATATTTAGTCTTACCGGATTTTTCAGTGTCTCGAACAGCAGACTGCATAACCTTCTCAGTCCGCTTGTAGAACTCCTCGATGGTCTCAGTGGTGTTCACATCCAAGTCGACGTACGGCTTGTAGCTGAAAATATTGATATTGATCACATCGCATACTCGTAGTAGAAAGTATAAGTACTTTCACAAAATTAAAAAAAATGTTATAAGCAATTAAGTCCCATGGCTCCATTTATGGTACACACGGCCACACATCAATCTACACAAAACCAGTTTATCCTGGTGTCGCGTCGCATCATTTTTCCGCACATTTAACGTTCAGTTTATACTGGTTATGTAAAGCTCGATGTGTAGTCGTGTGTACCTCAGGGTTAGTAAGGGTTGACAAGTTAGTTTATGTGCTACGGGACGCTAGGGACGCGACTGATATAACAGTTTAGAGATGTTTGGTGAAAACAGCCATTAGCTTATTTGAGTTATTTTTAATAGAGTCGGTACGGTTGGTGCGGTGGCTGGACAACCGCAACGAGTCGTGGGTTCGATTCCAACTCTAGCAACTCTGTGTGATCCACAAATTGTGTTTCAAACGAGTTTTCACATACACGAGACACCCAGGTGTAACTTGTATGTGAGAACTCGTATGTTTGTGAATACACTCACGACACAGGAGAAAATCCTTGAGTGGAGAAACGTTTTTTCTAAAAAACCTATTTCTAATTTAGCCTTACCTCAGGTCGACGTTCAGGCCTGCCTTGTACATCTCCATGGGAGTCATGAAAGGTGCCATTCCCTTAGCCATGTGCCACATCTTATACTCAAAGAGACCAGGGTCCACCCTGATTTTTACTGAAGGATCAGCTTGAAGGCCTGTAAGCAAAATAGTATGAAGAAACGAAAGAAGTATACAGAGTGAATATGAATGGGGCCGTCGATAGAGGGCGCTCTAGACAGACTTACACTGACCAGATTGGCGATATATTAAAAAAGGGTCAAATTAAAAGTACCCTTAACTGACGAGCATGCATGAAAAGATTGATGATTTCTTTTGTAGTGCACGGAATTCAAGGAAAAGTTCGTGTATATTTTAATAGATTTTGATCTTAATTAGAAAGCAGTAAGATTTAAAATTAACTAAACAATTAGCTAGCAAAGTCTGTGTATACCTTGCTAGCGTAAACATTTTTGTGTCAGTAGAGTAAATCACCACGAAAGTAAACGAATTTTTTGTTAAAACTAAATTAAAGACAGTGTATCACTATCATTTTACCTCATTTTATACTATGTATTACATTAAGCAGGAGAGTATGTTTGTTTGTTTGAACGCGCTAAACTTGGGAACTACTGGTCCGATTTGAATAATTGTTTTTGTGTTGGATAGTGCATTTATCGAGGAAGGCTATAGGCTATAAAACATCACGCTACGATGAATCTCAAGCTGAGCAGAGCGGGAGTAGCTAGTCTATATAAATAAAAATAAATTTCGCTAAAACTCGAGAACGGCTGAACCGATTCAGCTAATTTTGGTCTTGAAATGTTCGTGGAAGTAGAGGGAAGGTTTAGGTGAGACAATTTTTTAGGCGGGACGAACTTAGCCGTGTCATCTAATAATAAATAATTCGATTACGCAATCAGATTTTGCAACGAGTTTTCATAACAATAAGAGACGGACTTGCATTGGACCTATCACTCACTTGATAGTGATAACAAAATTAAACTATCGAGTGTTATCATCACAATCACAAATGTACACAAACAATAATTAATTTGTTCGGACTTTGTATACCCTTTATTGTTTTGTTTCTTGTTTGTATTACTCTGTAGCGATAATAGTATTGAATAATAACATTAGACAATTACATTAGGCCTATTTTATATCTAGGTACACAGCTGTGTATGTATTACATATATTATACATTAATGTTCATTTGTTTATATGAAAACTTAGCTGCCAGCTTGAAACACGGAAAGTTTTTCATTGTAAGGGCCACAGACATAACATCATACGGTTTGAATGTAACATGTACTTTTTGCCAGCAATATGTTATGACTTCCATGACTATGTGTAATAGGCTTGCCTTGCCTACTTACACATTCATCGAGCAGTATTCAATCACTAATTTAACATAACATAACATCACACCTTTTATCCCCGAAGGGGTAGGCAGAGGTGTACATTACGGCACTTAATGCCATTCTACAATGTTACACCCACTTTTCTCTATTTATGTTACAAGTCCCATGTAATTGGGGGTTAGCCTATTGACATATACCGGCCACAATTACACACTCCGTGCTATTAAAAAGTTTTTTTGAAAAAGCCCAGCAATTTTTTGCCCGACCCGGGAATCGAACCCGAGACCCCTTGCCCAGCAGTCGCAATCGCGACCACTCGGCCAACGAGGCAGTCCATCACTAATTTCTTGCACGATTATTTCAAAATGCAAATGACCACCTTACCTTCAAGGAAAGCGTGAGCAGTTTCAACGCATCGCAGTGCAGCCGATGCGTACACGTGCTTGATGGGTATGCCAGCCATTCGCAGTCCTTCGCCCACCAGTTGCGCTTGGAAACGACCTACTCGCGTCAAAGGAGTATCTTTCATGTAAGAATCCGCCCCACCAGTCCTAAAATTATGATGGTGATTAATACATTGTAATTCGTCGGTTTGGTTCAGTTCCGTTCGGTGATTAGCATTTGCATCAAGTACATTTTGTGCCATACTGTAAATCTCTATACGACCTTTTTTAAAATAACAATTGATCGCAGTTCAGTTTAAACTAGTAAAATATTTTAAAATATTCTAATTGGAGTCGAATAGAGCTCCAATAGGATTCGATTTGGAAAACTTGTATATATATAAATAAAAAGGCCGGTAACGCACTTGTAACGCCTCTGGGGGCTTACTCTTGAATCCAATTCCGATCGATCGACATTGGTATTGTGAAATTTCGTACTCTTGAGTTGCAAAACTAGCGCCCATTGCATCCGTATTGCGTGTATATTTCATGAACTAAATGGTATTGAGTATGGTTTTATATTCCGTACTCTGAATGCTACTTTAACAGCTACGATAGGGGTTGTATAGTATTGACATTGGATTATTATTTAGATTTTATTGGGTTGAAATTGCATTGACATTGAGATTGGTTTCAAGAGTAAGCACCCTGGTGTTCCAGGTGTCCATGGGCAACGCCGATTGCTTACCATCAGGTGATTCGTCTGTTCGTTTTCGTGTATATGCCATAAAAAAAACTTGAACACTAAAATCATTGTTATGCTTTTATCAAATGTCAACATCATTAATTGTTACTGATTCTATGAAACGCTTACCTCTCCCCCAGCTTCAGGGGTAAGTTCAAATCCTTCCTGGTGTAAGTGCCGTTTTGGTCGAAACAGAAAGGCACCCATTGTCCGTACGTGAGGTCCACTCGCTCCCCATGGCGCATCGCGAAGAGCCAGCGACGATGTTTCTCATCGGTTTTATTAACCTGAAATGAGGGCCGAACTTTAAAATTATGTAAACACACTGGATTTTTTTTATGGCATAAGCCGGTAAACAAGCAGACGGATCACCTGATGGTAAGCAATCGGCGTCGCCTATTGACATCCGGAACACCAGAGGCGTTACAAGTGCGTTACCAGTCTTTTGGGGATTAGGAGTTTCGAGGATCGTTGGGGATTCAGGCTTCGTGCCGAAGCATGGCTCTGCCACACTTAATGGATGGACGACCAGTGGCTTTGAGGGGACTTTGAGAACAGAAATTCTGGTATCGCAGGCCAAAAATCCGCTATTAGGTCGCTGAGCCACAGCCGCAAATATTAGGTAATCTACTTCATACACATAATACAGCTGCTGACCAAAATATATGTTGTATTAAACGTGTCAAATGAATTCACGTTAAAATAATTTGATCACCCAAATATGGGTTAGGAACTCTAAACTAATGTGGTATTGCGCAAGTGTCAAATAACATTATAAGAACTCATTCATAACCAGACTCTCTCATAACCAGACTCTCTCATAAGACGAGAGACCTACTTCCTGACGATTCCTAAGAACGCACAATTAATTAGTTTGTGACTTAGAACGGTTATCGTCATACATAGGTATTATTCAAATACTGCCTTTAAATTACATACATAGTCTTTTGTATCTAGTTTTGAAAACATCAAGAAATAGAACTGACTAAGGAGGTCATATCAATTTCAAAACATTGTCATTGAAAACATTCCAAGACATAAAATAATTATTGCGTTTATATAGATAAGATATTTAATTGCATCGATGCACCACAAGGATCTGTAAATGTCCTTCTTATCGACATGACATAATCACAATATATTCACGATGTGTTTATTCAAATTTCATGAATCAATATATTTTGAGCATTTAGCCGTCAAAATAAAGTTATTATCTTTCCACGATATCGCCACGGTAGTTGAATCACTGCACTTTTAATGTGTTATCAATCTTATGTTATCGCTCGACCGATACATCCATCTTATAAAGGAATATCTGTCAAATTGTATGTACTTATTCATGATGATTTTGTACTGTAGAGAAATGTTTGTTTATCTTTGAGATGCAGTGTGGAGTACCTACGTATATATCTACTTATTCAATTATTACTTCCGAAATGGTGAGGTGTTAGTTTGACGTAGCGATGTTACATATTTCCGCGAACTAGTCTCATCATATCATAGTATGCAGATATAAATATTATCTAGGTATGTATACATAATAAAACAAAGATGTTATCTATGACTTATAAACATTTGAAGACTAGTTCGCAGAAATTTTAGGAAGTTTATTTGTATTAGTAACTCTTATAGAAAACATGAAGATATGGTATGGATACGTATTGTCGATAAAATAATACATTTCGTACATTTTTTTTATAATAACTATCGTGAGACATACTAAATTAACTAAAAAATCGCACGTGAAAATATTGAGAAAAGCTTAAGCTTAAGATAATTTAGCTCTTCTACCTCTGCTTTTATTAACCTGCGATTTTTAGTTAACATTTCCTACACAAATTAGTTAACAAGATTACAAATCGCAGCAATACATTTTAAACTTAACTAGATCTCTATTGGGTATAGAAGCTTAAATGTAGGAATTCTATCATCTACTTGGGATGGACACTCTATTTTAAATTATGGCTCCAAGATCCATTATACATTATGATCGATAAACATTCACCTTCGTCATGTCAACAACCCAACAAAAAATGGAATGTTTGTAAGATTGAATGATCCTGGACCAGTTTCCTAGCACCCCTGTTTCAAACCGGTTTTGTTACACAACAAACTTGACTGATAATTTTATTCTTACATAATACGAAGGGGTCCTGTACCAGCTGCGTTATCGATACCGGTTTGTAGGGAGATAAAATGACCGCCTGAGATACTCGACGAAAGGGTGACGTATTTTTTTTGAAAATAGTTTTTATTATATTTTAGTCCATTGAATTATGATCAATTATTGAGTCGAATCGGTTTGTTGACTGCATTGCCGAAACAATGCATCGTTAGTCGAGTGATTGTAAGCGCAACTTCAAAGCGTTTCCGTTTCGATTCCCGGTAAAGATAATGTATTATTAGAATTTTCAATAAATCTTTTAGAAACTACGTTTAAAAAAACCGACTTCAATCTTCTCATTTTTTAAGTCGGTTAAATAATTAACTAAAATCTTCACCTAAGCGTAACAAACACTTTACTGACACAAAACAAAAAACCCCCTTGAAAATCGGTTCAGCCAATCCCAATATATTCGGGCACAAACATAAATACGGGTCAAACAAAGAACCTCCTTCTTTTTTTGAAGTCGATTAAAAATTATCAGTATTCGAAAAAAGTGTACCACTGCATTCCCGTCGGCGATACACATAGCGTGAAGTTTTTTAAGTAGACATTCCTGTCCAAACGGGACGGAGAGCGTGATGTCGACAACTGACAGTACAAAAAATTTTAAAGGTAATCCAGTTTCTATTTTATTTTAAAAAACGTCTACATTCATCTAGAGTGGACGTGGTAGTTTTATTACACTTGTACTGGTTCTATGTACCACCCGAAACTATCTTGTCTTTCTATTTTTAAACAGGCTTTAATCTGTCAAACACCAAGCGGTCACCGGTGACCGCGACCTATTGTTCTTTAATTGTGTCTATAAAACCGGTACTCGACGAGTTAAGGAGTTTTAGAACTCCTTTGTAATTAGTACTTTGGTCTACTGCTTAATTAAAAAACTTATCATCAACAACTAGTATGCGATTTCTGGGAATTGGAGGAGACTTTAGCTAAAATTGACCTTATCTTCTGTTTACCCCTATCTGAAATTGGGTAAATCTTACAATGTCTCACAAAGCGAGAAGGAGAACCGAAAACATATTGAACTCAAGTAATTTATAGATAGAATACACCTCATTTATATCTTTATAATCTATCGAAGGTAAAAATACAGATATTTAAATTATTTTGACGTGCATCGTACATGATAGTTTTATCTATTGCCACGTTGCAGGTACCACACCACTGCTCATTAAGTGATAGAAAACACCTTTTTATTGCATCATCGTATTTAAAAATATAAAACAAATATAGATAAACATTTTTATAAGATTAGATGGTTAACTTTCTCCACAAAGTTTAGTCATAGGTACACATGATTCAGATAATTAAGATGGTCCATACAACCCTCAGACATTAATAGGTTCTATTTTCTAAGACCTAAGTTTGTGTTCTGCTAAGCAAAACTTTTTTCTGATGTATTTGAGTAAAGATTAAAATGATTAATTATAATATATTGGTAATATTACTCACATACGAATCTGTTCCAAACTTGCTGCTATTACTCTTCCAATCAATGGAAACATCTGAAACAATAAAAATAATTTACATAACATAACATCACGCCAGTTATCCCCGAAGGGGTAGGCAGGGGTGCACATTATGCCACTGTAAAATATAACACCCACTTTTCACTATTTATATTATGAGTCCCATGTAATAGGGGGTGAGCCTATCACCATATACCGTACACCATATACGGCACAATTCCAGACTCCGTGCTACTACTGACATTTTTTTTAAAACCCACTAATACTTTGCCCGACCTGGGTATCGGACCCGAGCCCCCTTGCCCGGCAGTCGCACTTGCGACCACTTGACCAACGAGCAGTAAAAATAATTTTGTTTGCTTTATATCCACAAGAACTCAAGACAATATTGAAAGAAATAGTAATTTATTTATTTAATAATGTATGTATGTATACACACACCTAAGAAGACACATTTATTAAATCACATAGGTGCTACATGTTCCTATATTCTATTGTACACAAGAAATTTTAACAGAAAAACGCTTTAACTCCATCTACTATCTTCTTGGCACAGCATTACTCATACTCTACTGCTAGAACATCATTCTTGTTTAGGATGTCTCTCATATAGAAGAAGACAAACCCATAGTAGAAATATTTCAATTAAAAATTTTAACTTTAGCTAAGACTAGCTACTTCCGCGCGGTTTCACACGCTCTGCTCAGCTCCTATTGGTCGTAGCGTGATGTTTTATAGCCTATAGCCATCGTCTATAAATGCACTATCCAACACAAAAAGAATGATTTAAATCAGACATGTAGCTACGGAGATTAGCGCGTTCAAACAAACAAACAAACTCTTCCGCTTTATATAATAGTATAAGATATAAGAATAGTATAAGATATATTAGTTTGAAGTGGTATTTCTCCGAAAACAAAAATCTAGTAAACAAATAGTAACTCACTCTGCGGTACGTCCATTATCCCATCACTCTTATTGGTTTCGACAGCAGTCCAATACTTGCCCCATTCTTCATATGTCTGCTCAGACTTCTCATGACCCAACTGGGCAGCGTCTTCATGAGGGTAACTACTCGCCATTTCGCCGTCCGTATTAGAATCAGATTCGGACTTACAATCTGAACCTAAAATAGAGAAAAGTATAAGAAAATATTTAAAATTCCCGTGACACGCGTTCATTATACCGCGACCGTGGACTCCAGACAACTGGTCCAGCGAGGAAAATGTTACCTATTAGTAGCCGACTGTGTTTATTGAATCTTTAATCTTTGCCTTATTATCAAGAAATTGGAGGAGCTGCGACAATATTTGATCGTGTATGTACAATCGTGGACAAATGTTACGACGTTTTACGTCGAAGTTATTACCCTACTAGCTTCTACCCGCGGCTTCGCTCGCGCCACAAAAGCATAAAAAGTAGCCTATGTCCATCCATCTATCCATCCGTTCAACTACCTTCAGTTAAAAAAACACGTTAATTAGTACCTCCGTTCTGCCGTTTAAGACAGGCAAACAAACAAATAGCTTTTCACTCGCGTGGAACTCGGTTATATCGCGCAATTTAGATTTTTCCAATAAGTAGGTAATTCGTTGACTGGTTTTTAATGACATACAACGCCATCTATAGCAGTACATACAGCGCCATCTATACCAATATTTTTGTTTTTCCTAGGAAATATCAATTTTTTTCCGGGATAAAAAGTACCCTATTATTTAATAAAGACTTCTAACTTTACGTCTGCAAAATTTCAAAGCAATCGGTCTAGTAGTTACGGCGTGAAGGCGGAACAAACAAACAAACAAACAAACTCACTTTCCGATTTATAAATCGGAAAGTAAGGATGTAAGGATTTTAACCGACTCCCCAAAAAGGAGGAGGTTCTCTATTCGGCCGGTATTTTTTTTGACACTAGTTTTGTCCTTCAACTCTAGATCCACCCAGAGATTTTGGATTAACACGTTACAACGCCATGAGGGTCACCGATGACCGACAATAACGCGGGTTGACCTTCCAACAGTTTTCAATTGGCAGTCAAAGCTTAAGATAGTTTATCATCTTTGGTCACTAAATACTACAAACCATTTGTACTGCAACTAATTTTATAACTACGCGACTGTACCTCAGAAATCAGCCAATACGTCAAAGTTTGCTTTGAAACTACATAATATTGTTTTCATTATCTCGAGCGAGTTATTGACAGTTCGTGTGTCCAATCAATTCGATATTTATTTAAAATATATGATGGACCGTATCTTACGATTTGGTACCTTATACATAAATTATGTCTCATTATAGTTATTGTGTACTATTTTCCAATAGGTCAGTGACTACCAAAAGTAACTAATAGGATAGTCATATAACATAACTAGTTTACTCCAACGGCTTCGCCCGCGTTGCCGTGGGATGAAATGTAGCTTATATTATTATGTTATCCCAGACCACATCTACCCGTACTTCTAATTTCATCCCGATCCCAGCCGTTTTGAAGTCAAGCAGTGACAAGCAAACATACAGAATCATGCATTTATAATGTCTGTTCCTGACCACTCTTAATAACCATTATTGAGACTGGACTTACGTCATATTACAATAGGCGACAGCCAAATATTTCGAATTAAAACAAGTAATACCTAAAAAATATTTTTTATGTTAAACGGTGTTAATGTGGTGTCATCAAGAATAAGAGTGTGTACCGAAAAATCAGATTGGTCGGTGGTCAGGAAGAGGGAGGAATTCCATTTACTTGAATAACAACCAACGACGACAGGTAAAGTAAAATAAAACTGTTTAATAGTAATAACAAATCTATCAGTGACCTATTAATTTGAACATCAAGACATTTTAAGGTATTTTTAAGGGGGAAAATCATAGAATGGCTACTCCCGCCTGGGTGAGGTGGGACTCTTACTGACTCAAAACCACCCCGTTCCTACTTCTACACTTCGAGTCGGAGCCGCGATAACCTTTTACGTTACTGCATTGTTTGACAATGGCTTCTAATTATTTTGATCAACGTAGCCATTTTCGCTTCCAGTGCCCTCTACAATGCTTTTGACAGTTTATAAGTAATAACAATTTTATAAAATAAATGGTCTTTTACTTAGAATATGTATTATAATTGTTATTGCAATTGATTTGTGACTTCCTACAGACTAATCACTGCGTATTAATAATGACTTAGGTACATACATACGTGCTAAATGCCTTTATGTATATTTCATGCACTTAGAACCTTTATACTCGATAATGTATATTATAATTGCATGACTCAACTTCTTTGTGTTATTTTTAATATGAACTGTGGCTTTTCTGACCAGACTGACTGACTAAAGTTAAACTAAAAACAATAAAAATAAACCTTTATCAAAGTGTGAACACGTTAAATAAATAACTTGCAATGATAAAGTTTAATGACATGATCTTGGTCTCATCTTGTAGATTAGCATAGACTATAAACATTTTGAGTCATCAGAACAAATTAGTGAGGTCATATCTACGTAATCACATACTAATAATTTTTAATTTTCGGGTATCATAACATCGTAAAAGAAAATCATTAACACTCTGTGCTATATAAAGTCGATTTCTTGCAGAGAAAAATAGATTCAAAGTTGAACAACACCAGGTTTTTTTTTAAATGAAGCTGTCAATCTATAAATATTTTATCTTCAAATACCGTGCTAGCGAATGTATGTATGTAGTTTAAACTAAACTGGCGTGGGGTCGAGTTAAAATTGTTAAAAAGATAACTATTAGCGTTAGTCACCAGTGCTGACATAGCATGACTTTGTAAATTCGGTATCTGGTTTTCAATTTGTGAACTTTTCAATCAATTTCAAAATTCACAGAATGCACGAGACCTAAACAATCTACAGTTCACTGAGTAAGCCCATGAGTGATAGTTCGCTGCTGGACCATTGTCCGGAGGCCCATAGGCGTCCCGTCTTTTTGTTTCATACTCCTGTATCAGACGCTATCATATTATTAACACCATTCCCTTCGGCACCTTTCCTCACTAATCTATGTACCTATCTTTTTAATATATATTTGATGGGCCGACGTTTGCCCACTATCTCGCCTGGTGGTAAGCGATGATGCGGTCTACGATGGAGCACGTCGACCTGTAAGCAACTTATTCACTCGGGCCTTTTTATCTGTACTTTAAGTCCGACCTATTATGATTGTATCACTACATGATACTATTAATTAAGGAAAATTAGTCTTACAAAGCACCCATGCCTACCATTAAAAATGTAGGCGTAATGTTACATTTTATCGTTTATAATACGACCTTGTCCCTATCTTCTTGATTAGCTTAATCTATAAATATGTATTCTGATTCACAAACTTTGCATTTGTATCTAATTGCCCATTGTCAATGTCTGTGTTTATTTAGTGTTTTGTTTGTTGCATTCATTTTGTAAAAACACCATAGGAATTTTAAATGAGATATTGTTTTCGCGCTTACAAAGGCAGGCACTAATCTAATATGTTTTTAGTAACAATAAAAAATGTTACGGCAAGAAATGTTTCGAATAAATAAATATTGATTCACTACCTGAGCCGGCAAAATTTGTACCGCTTAGACAATTTTTTTCTCACTTTCCCTGGACTTCCGCGAACATATCAAGACTAAAATTATTTCGTTCTCGAGTTTTATTTAGCGAGATTAAAGAACAGAAATTAATTTTTATTTATATATAGATTATTCTTATCAAAAATCTTCTTCTGTAAAATGGTACGAAAAAACTGAAAATTCGTTCCCTGTTTTAACTATCACTGAAATATGCAGAGCATAAAAGAATCCATTCATACAAATAACAATAAATTACATACAAATTACATTATTTTTCGAATCACCTAAAACATACACACACGCGAATATCTACATACCTACTTAGATTCATAGCAAACTAGATACAAAGCGCGGATGCTAGAAATAGACTCGTTTTACTAAAACAACGCCGTATAGAGAGCGCCAAATTCAAACGAATCTTGTTCCTCGTCCAACTATGCGTGGCATCCGGAAAAACCAGTCTACAAAACCACCCTCAGGCTCAACTATTCCAATACGAGTCGGACCCTTCCGTAGCGACGCTCCCACCCAAACAAAGAACCACCAAAACATTGGGGAGAAAAAGAAACCTTACCAAAATTCCGATAAGCCGTATATTAACAACCGCATTCGAACAAAAACCGCACCTAAATCTATGTGGCATAAGATTTAATGTATAACGTGACCATTAGAACCGTCGCTTGTGGTCTGTATAATATAAATAAGTGCTATCACATTCGATTAAGCACAATCAATTTTACGTTAAAGATTTATAACGTTGGGTATATGTCGCGTATTATTATAATATCACACACTTAATTGTAAACACTGTACAATGTCACTTACACGTGCCGGCGCCGCCAAAACAGCGAGTAAATAAACGCCGGTATTTTTTCTAAAGTATTTCAACACCTTTGTGATCCCACTCTGGATTTTATGCGAGTCAATTTATGTCTAAATACTTCAATAAATTGGCACTACAATTTGCTTAATCAAATTCTATCAAGTAATTTAGGAAGACAAAATGGTACATACAAAAGTTTAGTCTGTCGTGTTTAGAAGATAATAATTAATGGAAGTATTGACCCAGGCTTTTGATCACATTTATACATAAAATAACAAAATAAATATCAATATTACTATTTATCTGTTGATTCACCATGAAATAAATAAATAATATAATAAAAAATATATGTACACAATGTAAATAAATAGTGTAAATACTCACTGTTTCCAAGTGATATTGCTCGATGGAGTGTCCAAGCGTCAGACTCCGCTGTGCGTCGGGTGAACACGGCCGGCAAATAACCACTGACGCCTACAAAGCAATGCAAAAAACATAGAATATGACTTAGGATATGACGCTAACGCTTGTTTTTATACCTAGTTCAGTATACATACTAAAATAAGTGATAAATTAGATAGCAACCTACATTATTTGTCACGTCTTTTAAATACACGGCTATGTATAAAAATTAACACTGTTCACAAATGTTAAGAAAATTTTAATCCTTTTTTTTCCGAAAACGAAAATTGACACATTTTAGAATATTCTTTTATGTACCCTCAAAGTTTAATCAATAATAGGTCTTTATGTACGCAATAAGATCTATTATTGGCTAACCCAACACCAAAAATGACAATTTTAGCAAAAAAAAAAAAATACAAAAAAAAAATTTAAAAACGTACCTTCAGAAATGATACCGCGAAATTTGTATTAGTTAGTTGTAGTAAAACAAGTACTAGTCGTTGAGGTGTTAGACAGCGAATAGCTAAATCTGATTGAGTATCGATTCTTATATGAAAATAGGAAAATTCATAATTTCATATCTCTACAATATCAGAGATAAGATACGCATTACGCATATACGTTTTTATTAAAACAGACTGATTAAATTGACTGACGTAGCTGATTAGATGAATTTCTTTCAAAAAGAAGTTAATATCATTCATTATACCCACATATCACATTGACTCACAGCATGATGAAAACCTGATTTGATAATCAGTTTAATACCCATATATTATAATCGCTTATTTAAATTCAAGGATCAGCGTCCTTGTTTACGGTCGATACGAATTTGACCACAAACAAGGTTAGCGTTCGACATTGACCATCATATTATTACACAACAATACTAACCTCCAATTTTCAAGTTCAACACGGCAAAACTCTTTATAAAACGCGTCATCGTAAACGTCACGTGATACAAAAACAATATCGCAAGTCACTATATTACTAATCCAAAGTCGATACTAAACGTGCAAATTTTAGTTCAAATCAAAGCCAAAGACCGAGGAATAGACGCTATCTTTGTTTGAAAAACAGCTGACAACAGATATAATACTGTGCGCCGGTTGGCTCGTTAATCTCAAGGGTACCTCGCATAGGCCGCGAATACACAAAGCGCCAATTGTAAGCCGTATCTAAAAAACGATTATTAAATAAAACCGATACACATAGTTGTTGCAAGCGTTATTTCACGCGACTCGACTGGGGAGATAAAAGCTACAAACTAAAGGGAATAAAAGCTACAAGCGAATGGGGATAAAAGGTCCAAACTAATTGTAGGTGGCGACACAAGCGGTCTTTTCGAGCACCCTTGCACCCGCTGCTCGCCTCGTATTGATCGCAGCGTGATGTTTTATAGCGTATTGATTTTCACGATAGGTACATGGACTATACAATACAGGAAGAATTATTCAATTCGAATCAGCAATTCCGGAGATTAGGGCGTTCAAACAAACAAATTTTTTAGTCTACAATATTATAATAAATTAGTTTGATGATGATATAATAAATTATGTAAGTAGTTTGATATGATGTTTGATAATGATCAATGTAGTAGCTATAGAGTGAAGATATTCAATCTAGATTTTTTTTCGTGGCAATGTTTAAATTTTCCCGAAGTTTTAATATAACGTTTGTAACGATAAAATATGTGATAAATGAATCACCATATTTTTTTAATTAAAACAAGTCATATCTAGAAGATATAAGTACCAAAAAATAAGGCTTCCCCATAAAAACTGTATGTTAATTAACAGATGACACACGGCGGCTTGAAGCGACACCTAGCGTGATCAATTCGCAGTTCTTATCCCCATTAGAGCTCTAGTTGTGTGATGCAATACGTCGGCTATTGATAACCGACGTTATACGTAAACTAGTTGTGAGTTATAACGTGTTGTTTATTTATAACTAATTTCTGTAGACGGGAGACAGCTCTATTATGTAGAATTCATAATCTCATTCAAGAAATCTATTCATACAAAGAGGTCATGACTATACCTAATATGCAAATATGAATTATTGTCATAGAAATTGCTTTGTAATGGTAATTTGTGTGGTTAGAAACGTACCTGTAAGCCAGGATGTACCATGCACCCAGCCGTCAGACGTATTAGCGAATTCCTTTTCTTCGATATAAATATAGTCGCCAAGTACTAGTTCAAGCTCATCGCTCGCTTTAGGCGCGTAACCTTGAGTCACTTTATGAACCTGACGACAACAATTGTAATGTTTAGTAATCATTCAAACGTATTACATAAGCTTAAGTATTGCTAATTGAGTGTTATGTGGAATTAATTAAATTATTGCTACTACAACTACCGTTCACAGCTTTACCGAGCTCTTTTTACCATATTCAAAAAAACTAAAATTATTTAATTAAAAAAAAATTAAATCTTTCTTAAAATAATGTCAATAAAATCAAGTTACAAATAGGGCTACCGTATTCATTTCAACTTAAATCGTAATTGAAAAAAAGAGAAATACGTATTTTTTTTTAATTCTCCTTCCTGCTCTTATCCCAAGTTATGTGGGGTCTGCATAATCCATGAAAACAAAAATTTATTCCTACCACAATTAATATTCGGTTTCCTAGATAATTGGACTATTTAACACAAATAATTATTCAATTCGACCTAGTAGTTCTGGAGATTAGCGCATTCGAACAAACCAACTGTTCAGCTTTATATAATAAAAAAAGTAAAGTATATAAGATACGTCAAAATATATCATTAGCCAGTTAAGACTCACAGCAACTTAACAAAAGGCGGTGAAACAGGGTCCAACTCTAAATATTAGTTCTGACGTATACCTGGTGGTTTGCAAATCTTGGATCTCTGGAGTACAGCCTCAGTTCCCAGCTGGAGTGGTCCGAAGGTTGCATGTCATCCACCAATGCCTTCAGAGCATCATACGCGGCCACATCAAAATGGTAAGCCAATGTTATATGTAAGGACTTCACATGCGCTTCCAAGTTGATCGCTGTTCAGGAAAAAATATGCGTTAATTTATGTGATAACCGTTTTCCTTAATTCACAAATATATGTATACCTAGTTGTATTAATTAGAATTTAGAATATGTTATATCGTGTTCGCTTGCCTAACAGAATTGGTAGGTACATGGTTCAAAAATGTTTGGTACATCGCGTGCTATTTCCCAAGATTCTTGGGAAATAGGGTAGTTTCCTAAATTTTATTTTAATGTCCGTTTGGTACTCTGGTATATTCATTTAAAACATGACACGCATATTGTTCTGTTTTCTTACAAAATTAAATACTTTCGATGATATATTAATTTGAAATATCGGGTGACGTGCTATAAAATGTAGCACGTTGTGACGTCACGATCTTCCACTCATAAACTTAACTCCATTTTATCTAAGTATTGTGACTTTATACGAGAAAATAAAATATACGTGTTTAATATTTTTCCATTATCTAGCTCACGGACTAAATAAAATTTAAGGTTTCATACCCTGTCAATAACCTATTGTCCTGCTTCTCAAATGTGGAATGAATTGACTACAGAAATAAGTATACTTATTACATGGGTACTTAAGTATGTAACAAAACCATACATATGATTGTCAGGAGACATAAACGTCTAGTTCCTAATCCTGACTTCATAGTTATTACAGCATACGATAATTACTTTTGTCATGAAAGGATTAAGCCTAAGCTTTTATTAAATAAGCGATATCTTAAATGAGATTTCTTTTCTTAACTAATCTGAGGTTGTTTGCAGGCCTTTGACCTAATTTTGTCAAGGTTACCTGAAAAGTGTTGAGCGCCAAATTGGGGCACCAGTTCAGCATGTGCAAGACAGGGCCTAGCGCTGTTACTACTGGCACCTAACAGTACTTGCGTACGTCAAGTAGTCAATTATTAAATGCTTCCTACAGTTTGACTGGCTCTCCAAAAATTAAGATTGCGATTTCAATGCACATTGATTATATTTAAAGGCTTTAAGAAGATTTTTGTTTTTGCTCATTCCATTTGTTTATTTATTTTCATTTGTAACAAACGCATAACCCCGTAGCGCTAGGTTGGAACCCTTACAAAGTACAGATTAACCTAGTCAGCAGATTACGTTGCACAAACCCACATAAGTTTTAAATTAATGCATGACGCTGTGACGATACGTCCTTGCTGAACTGCAGTCTACACGACTTTACGTAAAACTCCAAGATTTTTTTCGATCGAATACACGTCGGTATTACGAAATGTATTATTTTTCAGAAGGAAAAATAATAGGTGTATAAATCACACAACATCTACAATTGGGTAGTTTCCAGGGTATTAAAATTAAAATTGTAATTAGTCCGTCGGTTAGATAATGAAAAAATATTATATATTTGTCGTATAATAAAACAATACTTAAATAAAACGAATCAAAGTTTAAGAGTGGTGGCTAAAACGTCATAACTACGTATAAAATGTACATAGAAGTGACGTCACGCGACATTTCAAATCAAAGTATCGTCAAAAGTATTAGTTTCTGTAAGAAAACAAAAAATACGTGTGTAATGATTTAAAATAATCTCCCAAATGGACATTAACTCTTTGAGTACCGTCATTATAGACACATTAAAGAACAATAGGTTGCGGTCACCGGTGTCCTCGCGGTGTTTGACAGTTTAAAATTAAAATTAGGCATCTACCTTATTGTACCTACCGTACACCTATTGTACACACTACCTAATACCAATTTAGTATTCAAACCACCTTTTTAACCAAATCCATAATCATGCATTTAAAATAATACATAAATTCTATTAACATAGCAGAAGAAGGGAGTATACTTAATTGCAAATCATATTTCACCAATATTTACCTGAAAAGCTCGTTGGACATGCTCAAGAAGTCTGGTACTGCTTTAGCCTATGAAATAGCTGATAAATAAAAATTAGAGCAATGAAGATAATACTAAATAATAACTAAATAAGCTTAAGCTATGAAAATTAAACGGAATATTCTGCAAAAAAAATTGTTTTTATCCTTTTAATTTTTGACATAGTTACATATCAAAAAGTATTTTTTTTTTATATCTGTCTAAACTTGGGTAAAATTGTGTACCCTTGCAACAAAAAATAGTATCTTTTTAGTTCCTAAGACATTTAAAGCTTAAAAACAAATTACATGAAATAATTATATGCTAGACATTGTTGCAAAACTAGGGACAATCTTACATTTGATAGGCTTCTCTTGAGGCATGGTGCACCATGGGAAACAAGTTCCCAATGCATCCAGATGTTCATATGTATCCACCATAACACCCACTATAAAATAATATTAGGCAGAATTTTACACTACATACATAATACAGGATCTACAGGAAACCATTCAAGTCATACAATAATACATGGTTATGTTTATTTCCAGCCCTTTGCTAATAATATGGAAATGAAAAGGATATTAAAGGGAATGCCATATTATAGCGAATATTATGCTGAATTAACTAAAAATGATTATACTAAGATAAGCTCTACTAGTTTCAAGTCACGGAGGGACTCTTCCTCATAAGCAGCGTGCAAGGTCGCGGCGATGTCGCACAGTCTACTGTATATTTACCTGAGTCACCTATCATTTTTAGTTAATTCAGTATAGTCATACTGATACGATACTTTTTATAAAAACATTGTTATGTTCATCATATTTCTATTCTATGCTAAGTACCACTTATAGTTTTATCATAGCACTTGAATACAAATAACCACTTGAATCAACAAACATGTATAATTTAATATGTTATAGCTAATCAGTTAATGGTGATAAATACTCTTTGCCATAACCTTTTGTTAGTTTGTTAAACGGTTTTATTTAGCTTGCCCAGTTTGATTGGGGCATTACCTAAAATTGGTGCCTTTCTTTTTTCTGGAGGCAATCGATGATTTGTGAAAAGTATTATCTAGAATAACATTACAAACGAAATTATCTATAAGCTCATAAAATCATATGGAAATCTCAGTCTGGACTGAGTTATGAGCATTGAAAGGAGCTGGAGTTGTACATTTTATATTCTTATTTATATTCAAATTATTCATACTCTTGTCACAATACAATACCTGAGTTTAAATTGCGCGCCGCTATACGCCTGGCACAAGCACACCATATCACACCACAATATGGATGATATGCCAAGTACTAATTGTCAGCTATTTTCTCTCAGTCGATAACTTGTAGGATGCTTCAAGGAGTTGTGTAATGATCGTTCGTGAGCGTCAGCTGCGAATGGTGGGTTGAGTAGTAGTAGCCGCCCAAACATCTAACAAAGTACTATTTTTTTGCCGTTTACTCCTGATTGGAAACTAATCTACTTAATAGTTAGCATAATCTTTTGAACAAATGGAGTCATCCGATGGCCGTGAAGTGATGGACTATACGTCAGATGAGGGCACAATTACTTCATATTCATTGTGTGATCAGTCGAAGTATAATCTTTTGATGATGTCTTTAAATAGAATGTTATGCTAATAATAATATAGATTAACTGTAGTTATATTAGTTACTAGTAGAGAGGAGTCAACAGAAAAATGTTTTTTTTACGTGTTTTGACGACTGCCCCTACTCAATTCACTATTGGAGCCGTAGTTGACCAACATAGCATTTAATTATAGGGCTCAGTGAAGTATTTTTCGCGTTTTCGACTGAGAGGAAATTGGTCATGAAAATCTGTCGTAGGTCATAACCCGTACTTAAAGCGAAGACACTACCCAATCACGCGGAAAACCTTGTTTTATTTACGCAGTGGCCGGTTAAAAGTTTATTTGCTTGAACCATACTCTATTTTAACTCTGTGGCATTAAAAAACAAAAAAAGTAAAATAGTAATAAACCTTGAAATCAATTTTAAAATATATCTGTTGTACCTAAATGAAGAAAATATGCATTGTGTTGGGTCACCATCAACAGAACATCACACCTTTGAACCGATTTATATCAGTTCGGACTCAGTTTTTCATATAAGAGCCCATTTATTTTTATTGTTTGTTATATTATTTTACATAAGTTTTTCCACATCCGCTCAACTGCTGCGAAAAAATTAAAAAGGCACCACTCTTATCATTTAATCATTATTTTATCCATTTCCTGACAGATTGATCTGATACTTGCATATAATATAATTTTTTTTTTCTGATTGTAAAACAAAGATATCCATTGATGGCAGATTACATATTTTTCCACAATTAGTTCCATATGGATATCGCATAAAGCTTGATTGGTAGAATAGAGATCATTAAAACCGTTTAACACAAAAAATAATTCTATGTATACTTGTTTGTCCTTGTTTATGATATTATGAAATATTTTTATATGATTGTATAATAGATAAAATTATGCAAAGTTAATATTATGTATCATTACTTACGCACTGAGGAGACTTGTTTAACATACTGTACAGCTATTCTTTTCAAGTAATCTGCATGTTCTTCCGACACAAACAGTGCCATAAAGTTATGTGACACATAGGGCTCTAGTTTTAAGGGACAGTTTGGAGGATCTCCCACCTTCTCCACAACATGTTTTACTGCTTTTCCTAGTTGCAGGGAAGTTTCATCTGGAGCCTAAATCAATAATTTCATTATTTGCTAAAGGAATTTTGTAGACATCCTGTGCTTCATCTGATGGCCACAATGCCACATGATCTAGTTAAGTAAGTCATTATTAAAATATTATTAATATTATAATATTACTGTGTCTCGCAAGGGAGCATGTAGTCAACATTCAAATTATTTAATTCCAAAAGAGCATTAGTGTTTCATTCATGGACATATCTATAATCACTTCTACATTCATTCAAACAAAGTGTGGGTATTTATAAATAACTGACTATGTTAAAATTAGATTGTTAAATTATTAAGAATTACTTATACCTTAAAGAATGAAACAAGAGTAATATGAGGCGGGAAATTGTGTGCTCCATTCCAACCAGAGATTTCTTTAGATTTGTCCCAGAACTCCAGGAGCTGGCTCAACAAGGGTCCCGTAGGACTGGCATAGAAGATGTATTCCCTTGGTTCATCCGAATCAATATAGGCATCATTCACATGAGTCAGAAGCCAATCAGACGCCAATTGGACACTGCGGTTGCCTGTCGCAGACAGTGCTTTTAATCTGCAAAATGTTTTATTGCTATTTTATTACGGGTAGGACTTTTTTTTTAATTAACTGATTCCAGCTGTTGGCCTCAACCCAAGAAGCAGCAGGACTAAATGATTTTAAGAAATTGAAAATAGTTTAATAAAGGGAAGGTTCTTAAACCACGATAAAAAAAATAATTTTAATATTTTTCTTACGCCCGGTGCCTCGGAAATCCCATTTGCAAAAGAATTTGAAGAGGTGAAGCATCTTGTTTTGCTTTACTCGAGGAAGACACTTTACGCGGAGGAAGATTTGCCATTTTCACTATATGACTTTGTAAATTACACCAAACTCGACGCATTAAAACAATTCACGAAAAGTAAAATGAGTAAAATCGCCATCAAACAAAGTTTATAATAGGTACCTACCTACCGAAAATTGAAAATACTGTCAATTTTCTGCTGTCAAAGTGTCAAATCGCTGTCAAATAACCATTGACATTTCTTTTTTTTGTGAACAAAGGTGAGTATTTCCTTCCACGCGTAAAACTATAATTCTCTGTAAGAAAATTAAAAAAAACTTTTTCTTCGATCGCACAATAATATTTCTGTGGCCAATCGCTAACTTCATAAAATGGTATAAAACCAATATAAAAAAAAATCAATATAACAAAACAACTGTCAGCTGTCTTTAAAGTCAAATTAAAATTGACTGTCAGTGTCACTTCAATCACTAAAATTTGTTGATAATTTCGAAAGTAGCGTTGTTTTCTGATTATTTACAAACCTAATTAAAATACAATTAATACTTCGTAGCCTTTTACTGTTTTGAAAGGGAGTGATTGAAGTTTAAGATGTCGTATAAAAAAGAAGACTTAAAAATATATTGGAATAAGATAAACTATGCTTTCCCAATACTCAATGACACTATTTTCACCGACTGCAGTAACGCCGAGTACGAGGAGATACAACAAATAATTGTCGGTCTTGGCATTCAAATTAAAATACGAGACCTGGTATTCGTCCACATTGAAAAGCATCTGCGGCAACATGTTGCGCCTTCGTTTTGGTCGAAGTTTGTTAAAACTGAAGAAGATGTGAAGGGTTTTCAGCTATTCAAGTCTGCTGTCAATGACTTATACGATTCTGTTTCCCAATTCTCAGGAATACTCGAAAGACTGACCATATTAAATAATAGCTGCAGTGATGGCAAGCCAATTTATGGAGAAAAGGATGTTATTTCGGGTTTCAAACAACTTGTGAGAGCAACTCTGCTGGCACAATTACCACTGGACTTTCAAGTCATCATCAATAATTTCTACAAAGTTTCCTTCAATGTATTTGATTACGAGTATGAGAACAATGACATGGGTGAAGATGTCATGTGTAATGGATGTTTGAATGAATGCTCAGACTGCAACTGTATGTATATAGTGAAGGTGTTCCATGACACCAACAGAAAACTGATGGAGTTGCAATTATTAGAGAGACTGACTGGTCAAGTGTTGACTAACTTCATTCAAATGAGAATAGAATCTCACATTCAAAAACTCTGTACAGGCACATTTGATGTATCACACATAGAATTTTTGGAAAATTGGCTTAATACTAATGTCATGTCTTGGTTAACTAGAATATACTGTAGTGGCTCCTCTAAACCATCTCCTGATGATTCAAATACTCTGAATGCTATATCCAAGTTTAAGCAAAAATTAAGTTACTTTTTATATCACAGCTACACTAAACTAAGGATAGACCAACTGTTTAACATAATAATAGAATACCCAGACTCCCAGCCAGCTGTGGATGACATTAAAATCTGTTTGGAAAAGACTGACCTGAGATCTACTTTATGTAAGAGCTTACAAAGTGCCCTGGAAACAAGACTCCTGCACCCAGGTGTGAATACACCTGATATCCTAACTGCTTATGTGACCACCATTAGGGCTTTGAGACATCTTGATCCATCGGGAGTTATCCTCGAAACAGTCACTAAACCTGTTAGAAATTATTTAAGGAATAGAGATGACACAGTGCGCAGTGTTGTTAGCAGTTTAACTGAAGAAGGAGCAGGGAGTGAGTTAGCTGAAGAACTAGTCAAGTTTGCAGCAGAAGCTGAAGGTGACAGTGATAAAGATGAGGCATGGGATGAATGGAACCCCGATCCTGTTGATGCTGACCCAACAGTTGACTCAAGTGATAGAAGAGCTAATGATATCATATCAATGCTTGTTAATGTATATGGCAGTAAGGAATTGTTTGTAAATGAATATAGGACGCTACTTGCAGACAGATTACTAGCACAAAGTGCCATCAACACAGAAAAGGAAATTAAATACTTGGAATTATTAAAATTGAGGTTTGGTGAATCCCAACTACACTTCTGTGAAGTCATGTTAAAAGATATATCTGATTCCAAAAGAATTAATGCACTAATACAACAAGATAAAGAAATAGAAACTTTGAATAGAAAGTTTACATCCAATGCAATGATCTTATCTGCACAGTTCTGGCCTCCTTTCAAGGATGAAAGCTTGGAGTTACCAGAGGAAATAAAACGCCATTTAGAAGCTTACACAAAATCATTTGAAGCTTTAAAGGGGAATAGGACTCTAAGTTGGAAACCACATCTTGGGAATGTGAATATTGAAATCGAAATTGGAGAGAAAAAATTAGACTTAACAGTGTCACCGTTTAATGCTACACTGATATTGCATTTTCAAGATAAACCAGAGTGGACATTAGATGAGCTTCATCAGGTTATGAAGGTACCTGTGACAATTTTAAGACGAAAAATAACTTACTGGCAATCAATGGGCCTGATCACTGAAAAGAGTACAGACCTGTTTGTATTAGTGGATGGTTCTGATGGAAACAAGGCTAACGTAGCTACAAATCAAGTCCAGGAAATGATCTGTGAGGATGATGAGACGGAGAGTGTAATGGCTTCAGCACATGATCAGAGGGAAGGAGAGCTGCAAGTCTTCTGGTCTTATATTGTTGGCATGTTGACAAACTTGGATTCTTTGCCATTGGATAGGATCCATCAGATGCTTAAGATGTTTGCATCTCAAGCTCCTGGTACTGAATGCAGTCTACAGGAACTCAGGCAGTTTTTGGACACCAAAGTGAGAACTCATCAACTTGTTTATCAAGGAGGAATGTATAAATTACCTAAGACATAATTAAGTAATATTTAAGTATCGATGCTGAATAAACAAATTATTTTACAGTTTAATTGATATATTTCGACTTGTTTCTTTTAATTCTTTTTCCTATAAAATTCAGTAGGCATTACTTTTTATAAGACTAATCGCTAGCGTATTGGAAGCACATCCCTAACCTAACGCCACGGTCGGCTACAGCATACAAACAAAATATGACGTGTTCATCACAGTCGGCCACAGCCGCCAAGAAAACATGAATTTTAATTTAAGTACATTTAGTTTGTCAGACTGCCTAGTTGCCCGAGTGGACGCAAGTGCGACTGCTGGTCAAGAGGTCTCGGGTTCGATACCCGAGTCGGGCAAAGTATTACTGGGTTTTTAAAAATCTCAGTAGTAGCACGGAGTCTGAAAATGTGGCTGGTATATGGCAATAGGCTCACCCCCTATTACATGGGACTTATAACATAGTGAAAAGTGGGTGTTACATTGTGCAGTGGCATTTAGTGCCGTAATGTGCACCTCTGCCTACCCCTTCGGGGATAAAAGGCGTGATGTTATGTTATGTAGTTTGTCAGCTATAGCCGACCGCGGTCAAACGGTAAAATCAAATATTTCTGTAGTTGTACAAAAATAAAACAACTTGAAAAAGTTTAACGAAACTTTATTTTTACATCATTTTAAATATAAAAATTTGGTTATATTAGATAATGTCTGTGGGTTAATATCTGGATTACTTATTTTAAGTGACAATATTCTTGAAGCCATTTCAATCAACAAATACTAGCAATAATAAATTAGCTGTAATAAGTTATAAGTAATACCACCACACTATTTTTAATAAAATATAACATTTTAATACTTAGTGTTTGCAATACATAATCTTGTGTCAGTCTTAACAACTATAAAAATACTGTTTAAAATTAAAATGTGGAAATAATCATTCGATTAATAAATAATAATTAAATACTATTAAAATAATGAATAATAAAAACTAAGAGATACTGAGAAACAATACAGATTCTTCAAAAATATTTTGAATGGAATGCATCAGATTAGTTGATGTGAGTACCACAGGTAAACGATAAATGCAAGTCGATTGTTACACAATATTATCACCACGCTATCTCTTTTCTAGAAGAATAACGAAAGATCCGAAATTTCTTATTAAACAGAATGGAATGTAGTTAAAATATGAATAGAAATCTCAGTAGGTGTAAAGCCGAAATAATTAAAATGAACATTTGATACCAATATACAGATAAGGACGGCAGAATCAACCTTGCGACGTGGAATATCTCCGGAAACACCTATGAGACCAGACTAGAGCATCTTGTAGGATATATTGTGGAATAATGACATGGACAACGAATATTTTATTATTAAAATTTACCTGCTTACTATCATGTACATTTTAGCCTGATTTACAAAGTCCTCCCTAAACAAAAATAAATAATAACAACGAATGGGACTTGATTTAACTTCAATTATGCAAATAAATAGTAATTGTATAAACAAACCTACAACAGTTAAAGCTCTACATCTAGTTTACATATGTACAGAAACACCAATGTTATGTCGAATGATTGCTGATAACAGTTTGTATATCTCCAAGACATTTACATAAAAATATTTTGTTAAAACGTTTAACATTTTAACACTACAGTTTGCATACTTCAAGCTAACAGCAAGCATGTACATTACATTTTAAATGCAAGACTCTACAGATATTAAAAGCTTACAAAATATTAAGTACACGAAAATTCCTTTAAGTCCGTTAAGTAGTGCTATAATCTCTCGATGGACGAATTAACTTAAGATACAGAGTGGAGTCGTTCACAGAAACATTTCAACTGTGACCGGCCTATACGTTGCGTAGCATTGTAGGCGGGCACTGGCTGGTACAAGTGGACAAACAGAATAGCGACGTGATACCTCGATTATTTATTTTTGTCATTAATATTCGATGAAAAGTGAGTTGGGTAAACATAGATAAGTTTTAGTCTGACATAATCCCGTCTACTAAATCTAACTGTTACGCACCATTATAGCTTTTAGCGACCGAATTTTTCTTGATCGGTATTGCATAAAGCACCGAGGTCCGTAGCCAATGTATGACTTTTCATACAGCTACATAGATGGGACTTTTTTTTATTAATTTTTATTAACTAATCGCATCCAGTAAAGCTTCAGACGGACTTGCCATGCCTCTATAGGTGGTATGTGACGTAAACATTTTCGCCACTAAAACAATGAGTGGTGCTCGAGTTTGATGACTGGATGTCGAATATCCTAGGAAGCTGTGTACATGGAGAGCTCCAGCTCTGCTCACCGGTTGCGGCGGGAGGCGGGGGCAGGTGCGGCGAGGGGGGGCGGTCCCGACAGAGGGGGGGCCGTGTGGGGGGCGGGATGCGCGGTTTGAGGGGGACGCTTGAATGGACCCAGACGCTTAGAGGGCCGCGGGGACACGCCATGATTGTCTCCACCTCCACTCCAACCACTAGCGCCGTGATCCAGCAAGGCTGCGGCAAGTCGACCCGTGCCTTGATCTGAAAAATATAATCTATTAGTTTTTAAATTGCAGCAGATTTATAAGTAATTACATATTGCATAATATGGTACAAATGAAGCATGTTAGATGGCAGTCGCTCGATGTAAAGTGTTAAAACATGAATATACAACAATGACAGTCAACGATTTTTATCAAGCGTTAATAGCGCCGTAATTTTGCCCGGTCGATAGCTATTCGTATTACCTGTTAGTGTCGTGATGATTTCTAGCATGTCGTAAAGCTCAGAAGAGACGTAAAAGTATAATAATTATGATGCGGCCCCACACAAAGAATAACAAAAATGAACCACCTAGGTTACGCGTCCGGGTCATGTTTAGTGCGGAGGCGGCGCGTGGGGCGGACGGGGGCGGGGGTGTTACCGTGCGGGGCGGGCGGGGCAGCGGGCACGGGGTCGCGCATGCGCTCCACGAAGGCCTCGAAGGTAGAGGGCAGCGAGTGCGCGGCCACGAGCGCGGCCAGCTCGCGCGCGCGCTCGGTGTAGGCGTGCTGGTACAGCGCCATGGTGGCGCGCACGGCCCGCCCGCCGCAGCACGCCGCCGCGCGCACCAGCGCGCCCGCGCACGACACGCGCACCACCATCTCCTCCCACAGCGGACCGAACACGCACACCTGCACATACGACACTCTTCACTGGCGCCTGACTGATCATGTTACTGTACATAATACCTTTCATCCAATAATTACACATTGGAAATTAGAACAAAACAGCTGTCAATCATTGCCAATCAAGAAAAAATAAATCGTGTATTGCGCAATTGCTACTCATGAATATGAGCTCCTAACATACCTTGATATAAGTCAAGTTAACTCGTCGGACAGTTACTTCTTTAAACACGAATAAAAAATGTTTCAATATTATGTTATAATACAAATATGGAAATAGAAACATTAACTACTTACATCAGGTTTCCTAGACACAGTACACCGCAGCAGTCCTCCAGGCAATGGGTAGAGTACAATGAGTACGTCACAGAACTGAGTGGGCAATGTATCACGCTTGTACGGCCGCCAGTGCTCGCTCCATACCACGTGCACCTCGTCGTTACCCAGGTGACGTGTCTGTAAACATTTTATAAGAACATACTATCAAAATTGTTACAATAAAAATGGATAAAAAAGCATATATCTATGGCGCAAAAAAGTTGCGGATTGACTAAAAATTCACAAACAGTTTACAAATAGTATATGCAAAGTTCACAACTTTTTTTAGTTTTTAAGTTACCAGTCCTTTTCCACTCTGTGACACTGTGACGTCATAAGTTATAGCCATTTACAAACTAAACCATACCTTATTGAGGATAGCATCGGACGTGTCGGCGGGCATTCTAGTGGCGACGTGGAACAACGCTTCGAGAGTGAGCGTGGCCACGTAAGGCGCGCTCACTCCGCCGCCTCCGCCGCCACGCAGCCCGCCTGTGAAGCCCACGTGACTCTCTAACTCAACCTGTAATAACATTAAAACATTTATCCACAGAAAGACATTTAAAGATGAAGCTATGATTTCGAAAAAAGGAACAGTAATGAGAAAAATTAAAAGAAACAATAACATGTCTGTTATTCCGATCAACAGCAATGCTATGTGCTCCTAATTAAAAAGGCTAATTAAAATTCAGATTTTAAATAAAGGCCGAATACTGTGCTTAAGTAAGATCTATTAATTAAAGAGATTAGTTAATTATAAAACACCAGTGATGGCACTGACCAGACTATAATCGACAGTGGCTCCACCAAGTAAGTACTAAAAGCTGCAAAACATACCTCCCACGCCAGTGCAGCAAGGAATGCTTCGTAAGCAGGACTACCGCATCTATTGGAGAGGATCTCGTTGCGGTTCTCTTGCCCTTTACCGACGTATATCACCGCTACTTTGTGCGTTTCACGACATCTGTGTAGTAAGAACAAATAAGTTTTGAAACATTTGTTTAAAACTTTAAGACGCTTGCTATGTTACCTCATGTGAGTGAGGTTACCGGAAGTCCAATCTGCCTTACTATCCCCCGTCTTTAAATCCCCAGATCCCCAATCTCTAAGAGGGCGGAAATGCACTTCTAACTACCCTTGTGCTGCAGGTGATCACGGATGATGCTGACTTATATCAATATTAGGTGATTTATTTGCTCGTTTGTAAAACAGCTGGCCCGGTAAACTACGCACCGCCTACAGAACTTTTTTCACCTTTTAAACCTTACCTGTACTTCCACGAATATTTCAAGTTGGAAATTAGCCAATTCGTTTCAGCCGTTCTCGACTTTTAGCGAGACTAATTTCATTTTTATCTATATAGATAATTCTTTATATCTTCTATTATTATACCTTCTCTTAAGTCTAACACACACTTTTATGAAAACCGCATCACAATCGGTTCAGCCAATTGCCAGATAATCGCGCACAAACATACTTACATATCAAACAAAAAGTATATAATATAGTGTGATTTACCTCTGCGCGTCCAAGTTCCTGAGGTCTCGAAGCAGCCTGTCAGTGCGGCGCAGTAGATGCGCGTGCGTCCTGCGCGCGGGCGCCAGAGTCCCGAGCTGCGCGGCCAGCGCCCGACACACGCCGAAAGGCCGCGCGCTCACTGCCGCGCTACACTGCGGCGCCTCGTCTTCTTCGTAGCTACACGATGTACTGCGTATACGAATAGAAATAATAATAATATAATTCTTTTATAACCTACGTTAAAAAAACCGACTTCAACCCCTCTTTTTTGAAGTCGGTTATTTAATAATATATACTAAAACTTTCTCTTAAGTGTAATAAACATTTTACTGAAATCGGTTCAATCAATTGTGAGATATTCACATAGATACAGCTCAAACAGAGAAGCTATTTTTTTTGACGTCGATTAAATAGTCTGAAGAAGTTATAGAATACTTTAAGAACCGTGACATTTGTTGTCATCCACATGTCTTGGATCCTAATGCATAGAACGTTTAATTTACCTGTCCCTAGTAGCCAAGTAATGTCGTTCACTATTCCGGTGTGCTACCAGCGTGGCCACTAGTTCGTCCTCAGCCCCCGGCGGTAGGGGGGAGGGCCCGGCCTCGTCCAGTCTGCGCCCGCATACTACTTCTGGTGATGTGTGACCGATGTATGCCAGTACCTGAAGAAGATAATAGGTACAGGAATATGTACTTTTTTAAAATGTAGTTAAGGTTTAATTTGCTTTTAATACATTTCTATACATACATGATCAAGTTGGTGTTTATCCGGCGGACAGTTCTTGTAGTCCGGTAGCAAGTCTGGAGGTAGCGGCGGCGGGAGGGACGATAGCGTGTTGTCTCTTGGACATTCGTCACTGGAGAACATCAATAATAATTTACGACTTTGTTATGATAGTTAAATTTACAAAACAATTAGAATAATACAGATTTTATATGAAACGAATTCAATGTTTTTGCACATAGTAGATGGCGCAACTAGCAAATAAAGTCTTATCAAACCAATCTGAATTCGTGTTAAAATTTTCATTATTAAAGAAATGAGATAACATAACACTCTAATTTTGGTTGACGAACCTTTGATTTATGTCAGCGCCAATAGTAGAGACTTTTTTAAACTAAGACCAACCATAACGCAGCCATTTTATTGATTAGGTTCTTTACTAAACCCAGTTAAAAGATATCACACGTGTGCACATTAACATATAATCAAACTTACGTGTCCGGTAATTCCAGCGGTTGTATAGTCTCTGTAGAGGTGACAGAAGGGTCGTAGTACAGCGCCGACGCGTCCCAGCACGCCTTGCCCGCTATGTCGCGGAGCAACACGCGCGCTTGTTTGTCCGATGTCATTAGACCTGTGGATCAAATGTATTTGTAAGCAAAATGATGACGGAAACAGGTCAAGGATAAAATAGTTAGTCATTAATTAACTCAATACCAGTGTAATAATGTGATGTATGAGTTAACTAGGGAAACAAAACATCTTTCTTCAATCAAAGACTTTCTTTTATATATATATATATATATAAAAGAAAGTCTTTGATATTTAGTTACACCACTTATAACTCAAGAACGGCAGAATAGATTTGGCTGAAAATTGGTAGGGAGGTAGCTTAGAGCTAGGAGACCGACATAGGATACTTTTTAACCAATTTTTTTTTTACATTTTTCCGAAAATCACGAACGGGGACGGGAAAACATGGGATGGTACGCGTACGAAGTCGCGGGCAAAAGCTAGTATGGAATATATTCAACCGACAAAAGAGTTTTAAATTAGACTGGTCGATAGACATGTATGTCATAGATACATAAAGCCAAGTTACCAGGCGTAGTAGCGGCAGGCATGTCCAACGCAGGCAGTTCAATAAAGGAGGCGAGGGTCGAGTCACTGAGCCGCAACATCTGTACATGCGGCGCGGTCAGCACGGCGGGCCCGAGCTCGCCGCCCAGCGCCGGGCTGTCGTGTTGTTCACACACTGACGACGACACTTGCCATCCGTTCCATAGTGGCCAGTGACCCAGGAATAACACTAGTTGTGTGCATATCTAGGGACACAATTGAGGATCCTTGTTAAACATTATACATTGAATTTTCAGAAATACTACTTTAACTTTGTGTCTTTGATTCAGTAGTTGCAAGGACATGAGGTTATTGAGTTCAAACGCAACAAAGGTTTTCACAAATTTCAAAATTTTCAGTAGTACGAGTAAATATTAGGAAGCTAGGATTAGTGTCTAAAGAATGAAAGTAGTTTTAAAACTTACTTTGCAAATCATTCGAGTGATGTCGCTCTAATTAGCTACATATGAATTATTTTGAAAACCATATTTTACATAAACATATCCCACCTCAATATTTACTTCTACAATTAGCACACAAGTTAACATTAATTATTGTTAGCTTACCGTTTGCGCCCATAGTTTGACGTCTATCGTAGAGGCGGGCGTAGTCTTTGGTCCCAGATTGTCCAGCTGTATGTTTGGGTCGAAGTCCTCGTCGACGGGGAGCGACAGGCCTTCTATATCAGATCCATTAGTGCCTTTCATCACAGCGTATAGTACCTATAAAGAAATAAGTTTTATAAGACTCTGAATCTTTTGCAAATTAATAAGATTAAAATTACATCGACCTATTTGAACTCTACATTACGTAAAATTGACGGGAAGTAAACGCTATGTATATTATTTTTGTAAGGCTCTAGACAGACGATCAGTATTTCAACTGCAATCCAACCGCAAATTGCAGTTCGGATGCAGTTTGAATGAAGTCGTGTTACGACTGCAATTGAACTGAAAACCAAACGTGCAATTCTTGCAGTTCTATTGTATATTGTGTATAAATGGTTGCAAACTAAACGAGCAGTCCGATTGTAGTTTTATTAAAGTCGTGTCAACTGCGTTCAAACTGCATCCGAACTGTAATTTGCAGTGGAAATGCGGTTCCTCTATTTAGGGCCTAAGAATAGATTAACTTAATTTGTACTTTTAAAGTTCATGCCAGCCAGGTAGACCACGAGTGGCAGGAATATAACTTCTCGTAAAGCTTTCTCATGGGGTAATTGGGCCTTCGGTAACCACACTCACAAAACGAAATACAACGCAAGCGTTGTTTCATGTCGGGCTTCTGTGAGGCCGTGGTATCACTCCGATCGAGCCGGCCCGTTCGTGCCGAATTATGGCTCTCCCACATTTTGCTTAGTTATACTGGGGCAACGAATTTGTCACAAAGAGTAGATACCTAGAACAAAATACCATACCGTTCTTCTATACAAATCTTTCCAATTTTTCAGTATGCTAATTAGAAACAACTTGACCTCCAACAAAATGGGTCAGACAGCGATCAGACTAGAGAAGTACTAACAAGATACTCGGCTAGTGTTGCAAGAACAAATATATATGTTTATGTAAGCGCATTGTAGGCTCGGTCTCCTCTATTTAATTTATTAGCACCCAATTATATCGTCGTGAGAGATAGTGTTGTCATCGTTTGGAGAATTTTGTTTAAATAGTCGGTTTGTGAAGGAGTAAGCACAGTCAACAGCTGCTACCAGCCGCAATCACCTACTCCCAAACTACCCTTACTACTTCAACATGCAGAAGATCGTGAGTAATTTTGTTCGACTTTAAACTCTTTTAAGTGGATTTGAAAGTATACATTTATATCAAGATATGTGATATATTTAAAAAAAAACTGATACTTGGGAAATGTATATTTTTAAATTACCTCGAAAAACACCCTTTTAACAAAATTATTTAAGACGTTTCTATTGTATTATCTTTAACCGGCCACATTTTATTCCCAGGTACTCATCGCCCTCGCCATGTTCGCTTTGGCCGCCGCCGCCCCTCAACAGGGCCACCCCGCGGAACACCCCGTCTACATTCTCAAGCAGGATGCTGACATCACCCCTGATGGCTACTCCTTCGAGTGAGTATATTTCAAAATACTATTCCAATACTTATGAAATCAACAGCATTCTCTGATAAAACTGATTGTTTTTAACTGCGATCTCCTGTCAAGTGTAGACATTATGGAAAACCTTTTTTTTGTAGAGGAGGTATACTCCAGCCGTGGACTCCTACAGCCTAAATAAGCCTTAATTTTTCATATTGTCATTCTGACTTTATATTTTTCTCTCTTCCAGCTTTGAGACCAGTGACGGTACAGCTCGCCAGGAGAAGGGTACTTTGAAGCAAGTCAGTGAGAACCACCAGGCCCTTGAAGTGAGCGGCAGCTACAAGTACGTCGGCACTGACGGCCTCGTCTACACCGTCACCTTCGTCGCCGACGAGCATGGCTTCCAACCCCAAGAGCATGTTGAACACCCCCAGCAATAAGCACCAATGTTTGACCCAATTTGCCGGACCACTATAAAATGCCTAAGCATTTACGTGGCCAACACTTGACCAAACATTTGTCTTATTCGCCCAGTTTGTGTAGGTTTTACTACATAACGCTGACTGTTATTTTTGTACATTTTTCGTATTCTTTTTATATGAATATATTGCAGTAATATAATTGAGATTGTAGTATTTTTTGTTTTACCTATAAAACCAGGTTATTAATTTGTATATATATGAATTTGTTATATATTCTTATACAAATGCCGTACCCATTATCTACACTAGCGCCACCTACTCACACAATCATCCCTCTAAAAAATACACATTTAAAACTAGACCTATGCACCTTACCTTAAATATCATAAGCAACAGTGTTTGGTCTCCATCCTTCTCCTGCATCAAATAGGTAGGTCCACATCTCACTGCGAACTCAGCTAGGCACAGCAATAAGGAACCAGCTAAAGGCTTCACTGAGTCTCTCGAACTACTCGGTGAGATCTGCGCTAAACATGCGCATATCCACTTGATGATTTTACCTGAAGAGATGATATGAAGTTAGATGATTTTTTTCTTTAATTTATTACATTCTCTCCTACAAGTACAACCAACTAGTTGCAAGAGAAAATGAAATTACAAATATTTTCGTGTTCATTCCTAATATTGCTAAAAAAATACTATTTGTTTAAAACTACGTATAGTTCAATTCTATGTTAAAGTATGATTGTATCACAAAATGGACTTGAGGTTTTGTTTTATAATGTATTAAAGAGTCAGTGAAGAGACTTACAAAAACAGTGCATAATAAAACGAAAATTGAACATTTAAGGTTGATATTCGTGTATCTTAGATAGTAGTTCCTTACCAGCTAGTCCAGGATAGAGCTCGACGATTCTGTCAGTGTAGTCAGCGAGAGCCAGAACACAGTCACTCACCACCTTCGCTATGTTCTTGTTCTTCATCTGTTGATTGTAACAGTGAGTTGATCATCTAGTGTAAATGCACATTCATAGGCAAACTCAAGTTTATATTTGCATTCCGTAGTGTTAGGTTAGGTTAGGTGAGATGAGTTTTGCGCCTGAATACTGAAAGGTTGCTCTATTTTGAGCTGTACGTAAATGTCGTGCGTGCTTAAAAAACTCTGTCATTTTACAAAGAATTTGTAGTCATATAACTATATTTAAGTGCGTCTATATTGAGTATTTGGAAATTATTGTATTTCTCGGTAAATCATTTATTTATTTATTATTAAAAACACGTTGCACATTAGGTTTTTTTCTGATTCGTGGGTGCTATTACAAACATACAAGTTCACAATTTCACATACACATGACACCCAGACCAGAAACAACAATTTGTGGATCATACAAAGAATTGTTCCGTGCGGGAATCGAACCCGCGAGACGTTGCGCGGCCAATCGTGCAGTCGAATAGGTAACGCAGTGTCAAATAGGTACTTCTAGTGTTTCTAAAGGTAACAACGATGAAATATCCTGAATACATGTGCCAGTAAAGCCTCTAAAAAGTACAATTTTCGGATGTACCGTTGCACATACGACTGTGAAGTGTTTATTATTAGAAACTGACCGCAGAAATATTTCAAAATCGAGTTTTATATAGAATGCGCTAATTGAATGAGACATGCCTTTCGCTTTGGTTACGCATGCACAAATTCGTTTAAAGGATGTGACGACAAAGTGTAATACAATGTAGTTTATTCATATTTTATTTATACTTTATCTATATAATATATAAAAGAAAGTCGTGTTAGTTAAACCACTTATAACTCAAGAACGGCAGAATTAATTTGGCTGAAAATTGGTAGGGAGGTAGCTTAGAGCCAGGAGACCGACATAGGATACTTTTTAACCAAATTTTTTTTTTACATTTTACCGAAAATCACGAACGGGGACGGGAAAAAATGGGATTACGCGTACGAAGTCGCGGGCAGAAGCTAGTTATTTATATTTATGCTATCAATATTTGTTACTTTGTTAAACAAAAATAGAACATAGATAATAATAGACAAATTTTTAGTCCGATAATAAGGGCGAAGTTAGTTAATTTTATAATTTTGTGAAAGATGTAGTAATCAAAATACAATACACATATAGTTTTATCATTGAATGAAATTTGAAACCGTTGACCACATGTTTAATGTAGTTTGTTGATAAATGTAAACATAATACATATTTGATAACAATATGTCGGTTAACGCGTTTATGAGTAACATCTTATATCAAAATAAAATGCGCAAACTTTCAACATGTGAAACTGAACGTATATTTTATAAGGAAGCAAAACATTTTATATACATGTAATTGCACAGTGCGTCGCGGTGGCCTGGAAGTTAAGACGTCCTCTTTTCATGCATGTGCGTGCAGGTTCGAAACCTACCAACGGCAAGTACAAATGTAACGAGTTATATGTACTTTCTAAGATTATTTAGACACCACTGACAAACTAGACGTATAATTACTAATTATAATTTTGAAATAGCTAACCCGCAATGAACAAGCGTGGTGGTTAATGCTCAAACCTTCTCTATGTGAGAAGAGGCTTTGCTCAGCAGTGGGCATTTATAGGCTGTTAATGTACGTATTGCACAAAGGAACTAGTGCAACACGTTGACAATGCTGCTATTACTTTTGTGGGTGTTTTCAACAAAAACAGTAACGATTTGTTGTGAGCACCAGTATGCGACCACGAAGAAACGTCCACGCGACCACGCCCAGGAAACCAGTCTATTATAATATACACATTTTGAAACTGAACAAAACCTAACTGCTGCTCAGTTCTGGCGCCCGGGCCCTGCGCCTGCGTCGACTCGCATAGTAAACGCAGTGTCAGGCAAATCTTTTTTGTGTGTTCCACATATTGTCATTTCAGTTTTATATTTCGTATATGAATACATTACCATAAGCATCTGCAGCAAGCAGGTGACGTATGCAGGCAGGCGCGGCGCGGCGGCGCGCGTGGCCAGTAGGTGGCACACGTGCGCGGTGAGTGCGCACGCGCCCGCGCAGCGCGCCGCCGCGCCGCCCTCGCGCCGACATACGCGCACCACTATGTTCAGCACGTGCTCCTGGGGGAGGGGGATACAATTTAATATATGTACACTACATTAATAATAAAGGTTATTGTTGCGTCAATAAAACACGAATGAAGACTGTTTTTGATTTATAAATATTTGCTAATTTAAATAAAGTTAGAAACGTTTTAGTGAACGCAAAATCAGAAACTCTTTGATGAGATTATGATCATGCATGATTCATGACATTTTATTACGGAGATGCCCGACAAATTTCCAACTCAACCGCGACCTTACTAAAGGTCGCTAGCGAAGCTAGATAACGATTGAGCTCGAAACTATCATTAATATTTTCATACTATGTTATTTCATGGTATCATACCTTGAGGTCAGGACAGGACACGGTGTTGTACTGGTGGGGGTAGGGTTGTAACATGGGCGCGTTCATCAGACCGTCCGGCAGTGACAGTAGCGAGCCGAGGAACGTCACCGCCGCTGTACGTGGACACTGTAACAATGTTACAACTTAGTTCATCCATGTATGTAAATACTGGTATAATATAAGCAAACTTACGTTATTTTATTTATTTAACATTAACACAACATCACGCCTTTTATCCCCGAAAGGGTAGGCAGAGGTGCACATTATACCACTGTATAATGTAACACCCACTTTTCACTATTTATGTTATGAGTCCCATGTAATAGGGGGTGAGCCTATTGCCATATATATTGGGCACAATTCCAGACTCCGTGCTACTGAGAATATTTAAAAACCCAGTAATACTTTGCCCGACCCGGGAATCGAACCCGAGACTCCTTGCCCGGCAGTCGCACTTACGACCACTCGGCCAAAGAGGCAGTCTTTTTTATCTATTAAGAACTAAAGTAAATCAAAAGATCATTCCATAAATCAGTTCTATTTCTTCTTATTAATTTTCGAGTTACGTTAGAGTTATTTATGACATTAATACATATTTTTTTGTAAACACGGTATAATAAAAATGCCAAGAAAGTTTATGTTTAGACTAAACCAGTTATGATTAAAAGTATTTTTTTCACATTAAATAGTCCAATTTTCGAGTGAAAACCCAACTATTTAACTTAGTTAGCTCCTAGGTGTCCAGTGTAAAAACATCGCACTACTAACCGAAGGTCCCATATCCGAAGAATTAAGTACGACAGTGGAGGCGTGCACGAAGTCCAGTAGCAGTAACGAGTACCCGTCCAGTGCCAGAGACAGGTAGCGAGGCGCTGCGTGCTCCACCAACACGTCTACCACTGAGCGATCCTCTCCGGTCAGACCTAGGGAGAAAGAGGTTTGTCATCATCAATTTACTATTATACCGTTATAGTTTATAATATAGCACAGGGTCTGAACATATAGCAATAGACTCGCCTTCAATTACACGTGCCTCGTAATTTAATGTGTAAAAACTGGGTACAGTATAAACTGGCCCTTAAATCTACATAAAGATCATACAAAGCGAGATCACGATAAAATGGCCGCGTATGGCGGCCGGGGGATAAGGGGTGACCTCACAAAGTCCCCACACATGATCCAAAAATAAAATTGCGTCTTCGAACAAATGCAAAGATTCTTTATAAAAAAACTTTTTCGTTTAAAAACGTTACTACGTTTAGGATTTTCTCCTGTGTCGTGGGTGCGTTTACAAACATACAAGTTTACATACACGTGACACATAGACTCGAAACAATAATTTGTGGATCACACAAAGAGTTGCTCCGTGCGGGAATCGAAACCGCGACACGTTGCGCGGCATCCAGTTGCCCAGCCACCGGACCAACAGTGCCGTCAAAGATTATGTAACATTTCAATGGACTACTGGTCTTCAGAACAATGTAATTAATTATTCAAAAGAATGTATGACAAATTGTCTTTAGATATGCAGTATGCATACATTTTTACACTCATAACAGAAACATTAACATTCTATTGTCATAACATTGAGCACAAACTGGGAAACATAATATAACACTAATTATTACTTCTTAAAATGCTATTCAAAATGAAAATATGTTACTATAACTTCACAATGGAGAATTAGATCATCAAAAACAATACTTTGGCAAAACATGAAAAGTCATGTTACCTTAATTTAAGTTTTAGATAAACTACTAAACGGCTCTGAATAAAATTGTGAACAGCGATAGAGCTGTTCATCCTGGAAATGGATAGTAGTTTCTAATCGATATAAATAAAAATGAATTTTGAACCGATTTGGCTAATTTTGGTCTTGAAATGTTCGTAGAAGTCCAGGGAAGGTAAACGGTGAGAAAAATTTTTTAGGCGGGACGAAGTTTGCTGGGTCAGCTAGTCTATATATAACTATATATAGAGAACGGCTAAACCAAGTTGGACAATTTTGATCTTGAAATGTTTGTCGAAGTACAGGGAAGGTTTAAAGGGTGAGTTTGCCGGGTCAAATAGTTATAATATTTTTACAACTCACCATGATGAAGAGCTCGTTGGTACAGGTGTAGGTGTGCGAGATGCAGGCGGTTGTTGCAGGAGGAGGGCGCGCCCGGGCCCTGCGCCTGCGTCGACTCGCATAGTAAACGCAGTGCCAGGAGTTTACCGGCCCTGTGGTAGAATAGACATAATGTAGGTCCATTTACATATAATTATAACATGATGTAGTTAATTTATTTATAATATGATATCTATGGTTATGACCAAGCTCTCATAAGAGCTAGTAGCTAGCCACTGCTACCTAAGATTGTTGAGATTGGACGCCGAAATTTATAAATCTGAATTATTGAAGTGATATTTGCTATATAATTACGGGAATGAAACAAAAATCAATAACAGACCTTAAACAGTTTTAAATGCAAATTATGAAGTAGAATTCAATAATTAGAATAAAAAACGCAAAATCTACTTTCTTTTCTATCACAAAAAATACGGACGGAGTTATTCGATCTCCTAGTCTTCGTCTCATTTCCATCCTTCATCTTCCAAATGTACGAATCACATCACACGCGTTACCATTTCTTTAATACTCCACTAGTTAGTACGCTATGAAGCGCTGAATCCACATGTCTTACTGGCACATAAATATGTCATCATTGTATTTCATAATGTAAATCCGTTTACTCGGATGTTTTGATGTTCTTACTCATAATATGTGAACAATAGATACAAACAATAATATCAAGATAAACAAATGACAGACCTGTGTGATGGAGGCAATGCCTCCGCCTCGAGGCACCAGCCCGCCACCAAGTTGAACGGTACGTGGATCTCCGTGTTTCCATTGAGCGTCTGGTTCGCACTTATCTGAAATACATAATTAATTTCACAACCAATACAAAAGAAACCCCTTCTTCTCAAATACATTAACTCTCACGTATAAACAATATTGTATTATAATAAACAACAGTGCCTCAAATACGTTTTGTTGGCATTCAAAAGACTTCTGATGTGGATCATTGTTATTGTAAAAAATAACTTCAGCATCATTAAATTCCATGTTGGAAATAAAATATTGTTTGTTAAACTATTCGCATGACACTCACGCTTCACATTTCTTTTGTGACAACAATCGGTTGACTTGAGAATGTGAAAATCGGAATACCCTCGCAACGATTTATAAATAATCGAGATATGTAAACACTAAAGAACCTCTTTCCTCCTGAGTCTCCTCAGGAGTCTTCTTTTTCCTGTTCTTCTTTCGCATTGGCAGTCCTTGAATACTTTGGTTTTGGACAACAGGTCGCACAAACTCAATAAGACCATTCACGGAACTCGAGCCGCGGCCGGTTAGAGCACTCGCAGTCGGAACAATAAAACTATTTATTAGAACAATAACAAACAATAATGTGCCGAGGTGACCGCGAATGATTTTCCTATACATGCACCATCTGCCAAACATTGCCAGATATCGACTGATAACTTACTCCAGCGTGCCATTATTTGAGATAAACATTAACAGATGGCTTCAGTCCGGAATGACATGATCCATTACATAAGTGTTTATTCACGATACCGGTTCAATTTGAACATTCTAAAGTCGTACAATTCCAAGTAAATATTGTTTACCTGCGACGTGGGTGGCTTGTTAGGTAAACGAACTTGATTCAGATATTTTTTGTACTAAGTACTTTCATAGGTATGTTTGTTATTTTTTAAGATTCGATTCAGTTATTCTTATCTAACGTGTCATATAAGGAAATATCGCAGGTTCGAGATGACATTGAAATGTTCGCATTACTCTTTAGGTGTAAAGTGGGCGGAGCACCTATAAGAATATGTTTGGTAAAGCCTTGTATAGGAATTTAGTTAGACAAATAAATAAAAACATTGTGTTAGGTTCTGCCTTCTATGAAACAGAGAAGCGCAGTACAATGTAAATGAAGTATGTAAGTACTAATTTATAGTTTAACATATAAATAACTATAAAGTTGTTGTCCAAGTACTGAAACGCCACTCAAAATTAAGTCACGCTTAAGTATAGTTCTGTCTCTACAAATTCTTTGTAAAATGACAGAGATGACATGATATTTAAGTACTATTTAAAATTGAGTAGGCTTTCAGTATTCGGGCGTTAATGGCTTACTATTGGAGATGCCCACATCTACTACTGAACGTATTGATGACGAATAACAAGAAAAAAAAACTTACGAGACCGTAAAAGTCACACGACACTGATATAGGTGATCACTATATCGCTAAAATAAATAAATACTTATTCAATTTTATGAAACAACTAACCGTTTGCATCATCGCAGACAACATCCAAATAAATGTTTAAACTGTACATTATAAACCATATTTATTATGTGTAGGTGTGTATTCTAAATTCAGGACAATGCCACAATGGACAATGTGAAAAAAAATATTCCTTATTGAAGCTACCGGTAGGGAAAACCAAGCACATAATTATTTACCCATATGTAGCATTAATTTCTAAGTTTGGAAAATTATTATGCTTTCTGATATCTCAATTATTCCCTAAGTAGAATGGTGACTTAAAGTGGGAACAGTTTATCATATAGACTGCACGGTTGGTGCGGTGGCTGGGCAACCGGCTGCCGTGCAACGTGTCGCGGGTTCGATTCCCGCACGGAACAACACTGTGTGATCCACAAATTGTTGTTTCGGGTCTGGGTGTCATTGTGTATGTGAACTTGTATGTTTGTAAACGCACCCACGACTAATTTTTTTTTAACCTTCCCTGGACCCTCCACGAACATTTTAAGACCAAAATTAGCCAAATCGATTCAGTCGTTCTCTAGTTTTAGAGAGACTAACGAACGAAAATTCATTTTTATTTATTGAGATGTTATCCTTAACATATATAACAAAAACAAGATACCACACTCCTGAGTTCGTTACTTATGAGATGTAAGTATTAGGATAGAATATGTCCTTGGGTTATCAGTATCACAATAGAATAGGTAACACAAAGCCAACGAAATTTTACACTACGATAAGTCAATGAATCATTGAATTTTTTGTTTAAGATAAACACGTATTATCATTATCGTATGACGAAATACATACATGACTATTCTCTAGTCTTCCTATTGCGATGTTTTTCACTGTATTATAAACAGAATTAGAATTTTCAACGAAAAATATATCCAATATATAATTAAAAAATAATGAAATATCAATATATTCATAATTATTTAAGATTTATATGGTGACTAACAAAAGACGTGTACAAAATTTACAGGATATTTTTCGATATTTCGAAACACTTAAAACTTGTCAGCATCCAAACTTTTAGATCACTTTGTGAATATAGTAGAAATAATTCATCAAATATTTCAGGATAATATATTTGTTGATAATCCCCAGATATTGGTGTACGGTGCGACCGCACATCGTATAGCATCGTCAGCATTTACGCCTCACATTCATTTCATTTTATAATAATAGTTAGTTCGCGTCGAGCCATCAAATCGGGCGTTCTCATTACGTACGGCCAGCAAAGGCAACGTGTCACTCAGCTCACATTCACACACATCAGTTCATTAGCTCAGTTACTTTAAATTTTGGAACAATGCAATAGTTTAGATACATTTAACATCTTTTATTCTATTCTACCCAACATAATCTGAAAGTAGGGTGTGATCAGGCAAGAGATCATACAATTGGTTTAATTTACAAGTGGTATGTTCTAATAGGCTCACCCCCTATTACATGGGACTTATAACATAAATAGTGAAAAGTGGGTGTTACATTGTACAGTAGCATAATGTGCACCTCTGCCTAACCCCTTCGGGGATAAAAGGCGTGATGTTATGTTCTAATTTATTACCTTACTAAGCATTATTTCACACTAGATAATAAGAGAGTGTCACCTTGAGCAGCGTACTGTTGAGATGTATGAGGTAACTGTAGAGGTTGGCGTGAGCGTGCGGGTCCCGCAGTAGGTTGGGGTCGCCGAGCGCGGCCAGCATGCGCCGCCACAGCACGGCCGCCACGTCGGGCAGCCAGCCCCGAGCCCGGCCCCCCATCACCACCCCCACCCCCTCCCCACCGCTCGCACCCCCTAACGACTCCCCCGACTCGTTCTCCGTCCATTCTGGCAGACCGATATCCAATGAACCTACTATATTCTAAATTAATTTATCTAAACACTTTGATAAACTGCTTTCATTTGTTAGTTCCTTTGCACCTGTTGTGTTAGTGAAGCTTAGACCAGGATGCGGTGCGCAAACATTGCGCTAATGTTCATTGATGCGCAATTTGATGCAGTTATCCCAACTAGAAAGTTGTACTGTTTTAATAAGAATAAGCAATTCCTTTGTACATTGCAGTTACTTGGACAATCTGAAGTCATTTAGTTTTACTCAAGACAAGCATAAAACTGAAGCAACATAATAAAATAATTTGAAATGGACGTACGTACCGACATTACCGCCGTCTGACGCCAAGTCTATTTGCAAGGGAGAATCTTTGATGGAACTGCTTTCTACGCCACTTGAAGGAGCGGGAGACGGTGACCGTGACCCTAAGAGAATATTCAATACATTTAAAGAGTTCAAATACTAGACGACATGGTAAAAAAAATATATGAAAATATACATAGACATACCACTGGCTGAATCTCTCTCTTCGTGTTGCGATGAGTTTCGTAAAGAATCTAAAGAATACCATCTCCTTGTCTTATCGCTGGTTGGTTCTTTGGTTTCTAAAACAAAACATCGGAAGTATAGAAAATTGTTTGAATTGATATCTAGACTGGAATAACAATGGACCTTGTCGGGGATCGCGAAACCACTTTGTCTATCTCATGACTAGAGATTTAGAGGTTTAAAGATAGATTTTACTGGACCCAATCTATCAACAATGTATTGCTACTTTTAACACACCTGAATGCGCCTGACTCTGTTTGCCTAAATGCGGGTCACTGCGACTCCTGGTGAGTTGTCGTCGTGTGCTGCCTGTCTCTTTGCGGGGATGCGGTTCATGGCCTGATTTCGGTGATTTTCCTGTGGACATAAATACTGTTAAAACATCTTTACTTGTATTTCTTGTTGCTAAGAAAATCATAGTGCATTCGTACCAGGCGTCCGTGTGGTGTGCGTGGAGAGTGCTATGGCGGCGTGGTGTGCGAGGGCGGGGCGGGGCGGCGCGGGCGCGGGGGGCAGGCGCCGCCCGCCACGCCCGCGCTCCGCCGAGCTCTCCGACAGGTCCAGCGAGTACACGTGCCGCGCTAGCACGCGGGTCAACGTCTCCATGGTTTTCTGTAACAACATACTTACTTACAAACATACATTCAATGTTAATTAACCAAGAAAACAGTAATGAAGATATCGCACACCTAATAAACACGGCTCTAGTACGGGCCCAACCCAGCAGTTTCATTGTCATTTAAATATGAACTTTAAACCGTATGTCGTATGACATATTTTATAACGTCATTAGAAAAAGGTTGTAACTTTACGTTGTAATGCGGTTACAACCTTTTTTGTATTGTTTCCAAAGCAAAAAACGCCGTGTTTGAGACGCACTTGAGACGTGCTGGAGCCGTGCTCGTTAGGAGGCGATTACCTTAAGTCTCTTATACGGCGTCTCTCCTAAACTAGTAGTAACATAGTGTCTATCGAATAGTCTCTTACCGCCCATTCCTTGATAAGATCCTCCCAGTGCGTAAGCCTCGTTAGTAATTCCATAAAGTTCTGCCATAGCTCGGGTTTCACCGCTACGTTCAAATTCGCCTTAATCCATGTTACTATTAGAGTCTGAAACAGAGCCGGTGCCAGAAACCCTCCTGTAAGGAAAAAATATTTTTATCAATAAAACGGAATAACGACTGCCTCGTTGGCCAAGGGGTCGCAATTGCGACTGCCGGGCAAGAGGTCTCGGGTTTCCCGGTCGGGCAAAGTATTACTGGGTCGTAAAAAAAAAATCAGTAGTAGTACGAAGTCTGGAACTGTACCCGGTATATGGCAATAGGCTCACCCCCTATTACATGGGACTCATAACATTAATAGTGGAACGTGGGTGGTACATTGTAAAGTGGTATAATGTGCACCTCTGCCTACCCCTTCGAGGATAAAAGGCGTGATGTTATGTAATGTAAAACGGAATAATTTTTAGTGCGTTTTCTACTATTATTTTGTGAAGATCAATACAATGTTAAATAGGTGATGGTAAGCTGCCTGGTGTCGTGTCTGTCACATACTCAGTAGTTACGAAGTTTTTTTAAACAAAATATGACGTGATCCATCACATTCGGCCACAACCAACAAGAAAACATGATTTTTAAGTACCTTTAGTTTGTTATGTTAACGATTTGATTTGAGTTAGTGTTGTCACTTACCTAAAGACTCCTGCTTTCGTTTCGGCGGTACTTTTGTAAGCACCAATGACGTTATCTGCAATAGCACCAGTAGTAACTGCTCCCTATAAGCAAAGAGATGGATATTCGATTAGATTTAATAAAAATGTTTCTCTCTGTCAGTCTTTACCGACTTCAAAAAAGGAGGAGGTTCTATACTCAGATGCTATTTGCTTGTTACGAAGTATTCGTACATACCTTACATTCGTAAAGAAAAAATAAATTCCTGTAGAGATTTTTTTTTATAGCATAAGCCGGTAAACGAGCAGACGGATCACCTGATGGTAAGCAATCGGCGCCGCCCATGGACACTCGAAACACCAAGGCGTGTGAGTTACCGGCCTTTTGGGAATTGGGAATTTGAGGATTGTGGAGGATTCGGGGATTCGGGAGACGGGGACTAGGGAGGGGGGGTAATTGGGCTTCCGGTACCCATTTTCAATAAATTTTCCAACTAGTCAATGAAGCAGTTAAACTTTTTATACAATACATATTTTTCAATTTGTTTAACGGTGTGCTTACCAAGTATTAGCATCCATAGCGACATGCATGACCATGTATCTGTATATATTGAGCACTCTCTTGCACGTGTCCGTCTGTTCCTCCAGCAACTGTTGTTGGTTGAGTGCCCCAGGGGGCGCCACCGGCGACGCGGACGCTAGGAACACGTTCGCCGCTTGCGTCATAAATATTTGTAACACATTCTGTAACAAAGTGGTAAACATGACATGTGTGTGTGTGTCACTACAAAAGATGTTTTGTCATAATCTTCAAGGTTGGTGAGCGGGTTGAAGATCACAGTTTAAAAGGACCCGTTGAAAATCATCCCCTTAATTTGTTCATACAAAAGTAGTCTCTAAACATAGGAAATAAGGTCTATAATGTAGTTAGTGGAGAGCGGTCACCGGTGACCGCTTGGGGATATATGGGTTAAGGTTCATTCCTGCAACCAGAAGTTTAGTGTGTAAGTCGGCTTTTACGGCACCTATATGAACATGGCTTTTTCATCCTCAAGCGATATTTTAGCTGTAGATATTTGATAAGTTTGTAATTAACTGATGGTAGGCAATCGACGCCGCCCATGGACACCTGAAACACCAGAGGCTTTACAAATGCGTTACCGGCCTTTTGGGAATTGGGAATTTGAGGATTGTGGGGAGGAGGAAGGAGGGGGGGGGGTAATGGGGGCTCTGGTAACCTCACTCACACGATGAAACACAACGCAAGCGTTGTTTCACGTCGGTGTTCTGTGAGGCCGTGGTATCACTCCGGTCGAGCCGGGCTATTCGTGCCAAAGCATGGCTCTCCCACACTTAAAACATAGATGGACTATAAATATAAAAATTGGTATTGTAAATAAAAAATGACCTTCCTCATTAATAGTCAACTGCCCGCCTAGTATACATACAACGGTAATCTATTTGTGGTTTTCCTCATTGACATAAGGATTTGTATTTTGCATAGTTATTTGTCCTATAATGAATTATAAATAAAATAAACCGCCTAATCAATGGTGGTTACAGGTACACATAGGATTGAGTAAACAAGAATATTTATATTTACATTGTTTCATTGGACGATTGCCTGGTACTCTAGTACAAGTATGTATGTGACATTTGGCACGAATGGGCCGGCGCGACCAGTGATACCACGGCCTCACAGAAAACTGACGTGAAACAACGCTTGCGCCGTGTGAGTGAGGTTACCCGAGGCCCAATTATCCCCCTCCCCTCCCCCAATGTCCCCAATTCCTGAATCCCCAACAATCCTCAAACTCTTAATCCCCAAAAGGTCGGTAACGCACTTTTAACGCCTTTAGCGTTCCAGGTGTCTATGGGCGACGCCGACTGCTTACCATCAGGTGATCTGTCTCCTCGTTTACCGGCTTATCTCATAAAAAAAAATACATTTACACTCCTAGAGAAAGAATGCATAATAATTTTTACATGTTTTAGTTTTACATATTTTACACTCCTAGAGAAAGAATGTCCAGAAATTTTCATAAAAATATATGTAGAGTTACCTGCAACCCAGCCCGAACCATAATATTGTCGCGTCCCACAGCCCCGAGGTAGGAGTCGTTGCGCAGACGTCGCGGCGGTATGGCCGGTTCCCCAGCACCTTGCTGCTCGAACGTATTCTCCATAAGGAACGGGGGCATTTCTGCCACCTGTAATTTAAAGACAAAGAATATTGTTATTCATATTTTTATTAGCATATTATGCTTATTACACATAGCAAGGGTAACCAAAGGTATTAAAGTGAATACTTATAGTAAAATTTTAGATATTACTAATACTGTTTACAATTTTTAAATCTAAAATTAAAAATACTATGCCAGTGGCGAAAATCGAATCTTGGTAGTGGGACTTGCTGCGATAACATAAAATATTTTTTTATCAACTACGTTTAAAAACAACGATTTCTCCCCCATTTTTTTGAATCAATTTATCAATATACTAAGTGTAAAAAATACTTTTCTGCAAACCGCATCAAAATCGGTTCAGCCAAACACGAGATAATCGCGAACATCAATAAACACACAGTTAAAACTGAGAACCTCCTTTTCGAGAACGTCGGTTAAAACGCGTGAAACATGTATGTAATACATAATAAATTATTATTATGTGAAATTGTATGTGTGAGAATACCACGATATAGGAAAAAGACTGCCTCGTTGGCCGACTGGTCGCAAGTGTGACTGCCGGGCAAGGGGTCTCGGGTTCGGTTCCCGGGTCGGGCAAAGTATTACTGTTTTTTTTAAAATTCTCAGTAGTGGCACGGAGTCTGGAATTGTGCCAGCTATATGGCAATAGGCTCACCCTCTATTATATGGGACTCATAACATAAATAGTGAAAAGTGGGTGTTACACTGTACAGTGACATAATGTGCACCTCAGCCTACACCTTCGGGGGTAAAACGCGTGATGTTATGTTATGTGAAAACGCCGTGAACTTAAAAAAAAACTTCATTAGTGTTTATCTTTTATCATTCAAGTACTAAGCTTATGACACTTTGATGGTCTGTTTGCATTGCTCATTCTTGCGATACAGCGTACCAGCAGCTATGTATGTATACTTAATACTGTATGGTTTGTGTGAACTGTTGACGATTCGCTTGGCGAGCAATCAGTGCAAAGCCAACCGACCGTGCGACAGTGATGATACGCCATCAGAACACTGCTATAATTTACCTACATGATAAAAATATATTGTTTTAATAAAATTTTTAATGGCGTCACGCCTTTTAAACCCCGAAGGGATAAGCAGAGGTATATCATATGTATAGTATTACAACCACTTCTCACCGGTTATGTTAGATGCGTACATAACCTCACAGTTGTCTCAACTGGAGGGTAGGCAGTGAAACGCCAATTGTTACGATATATTGCCAGTTATGTTATAACAACATAATAGGGGATGAACTTCGTGTGATTACTGAGAAATTTTCGGAACGCCGAAAAATCCCCAACAGTGCTTTGCCAGATCCGGGAATCGAACCCGTGAGATGTTTTTGTTATATCTCTAATAGATTATTATATACTTACGTTCATCTGTATCCAATCCTTATACAAAGCGATGACGCGTCTGACAGCGGCGGCGTGTGAGAAAGGCAGTAGGAAGGCTTGTCTCAGTACTTCTATAGTGAAGTCAACATGTTCCCGCGACGAACAACATAGCACGTCACGCACTACTAGCTCCGAACTCAACTCTTCAAATACACCGGAACCTGAAAAGACAGGTCTTTCATTGTAAATTGTTCTTTATGTGAATAGGTTGAAGATTTAGTTTTGTGACTGAAAAGATATAATTAAAAAAATAATCAAAAATTAGGTAAATAATTTGTCATTAGACCATTTGTAGAACTCGAAATCAGTAGCTCTATCTAACTAACTATTACTAACTATAAACAAATCATAGTAAAAGATGAACAAACCTGACTCCAAGCTAGGATGCGGTGTGTTAGACGCGGAATCATGAGACGATGCTCTACTGGAATCTGAGGGATGTCCAACAGTAAACGAGGTTTCTTCTTCATGATGTAGGGATGTCGCTGGCGTAGGAGTATTCGAGTGAGGCATGTGAGATCCAGTGCTCGTCATGGACGATGGCTGACCACCGTCACTTCCTTGCTTCTTCATGAAATGCGCGTAACTTGCCACCCATTTGATTAATGTTACTCTGCATAGCACATAGTCGTCTTCTAGTATGTTGTGTTGGACTGGTAGTTCTGGTAAATAGAAAAACTAAGTTACTACTGTGATGCTCTAAGAGTACGGGTTTGACTGAAATGGCTTGTTTTTGTTGTAGGCATTTCAATTTTGTATAACCTTGTATAATCTTTTAGTTTAGAATTTGATACTTTTATGTAAATGTATTCTTGAATTTCAAAAGTGTCTATTTGATGTTGACTGTATAAGAATCGTGAGTAGAGAAGTTCAGTATCAATTTTGATTTTGAAACTCAACTAAAGTTATTTCATACATAGCTTGAAATAAACTTGATTATTGAAACCATTGGTTAAATAAATAAATGCTTACCTAAATTAGGTTTATACAACGAATTTTTGACATTAAACTGCGGACAGATAACAGGCAAATAATAAATCTTAAATTTCTCCAATAGAAATGCGAAACATCTCATTGCCTTCGTGTGACATCTGTCCCTCCACTGGATCTTCGTGACTGACGTCGCCATTCCGTCGAGGAGTATATCGAAGAAGTATTTCGTTTCATTGTCAACGGCTTTTTCGTTGGCACTTGGTGGTAGGAGCGGTTGGATCTCTACACTTTGGACTGGGTTTAGGGCGTTGGTGTCGTGGAATATTGAAGCTGATACATTGGCTATCTTCCCCATAATGCCTGTAGGAGTTTGTTCGACGACGACTTTCTTAGCATTGTCTACTGCGGAGTTGAAGTTTGGATGGTGCATTATATCCTCTATACTGAAGTCCCCAGAACCATGTGTTTCGTTTGCCGTAATGTTTGGTTTCAGAGGAGATCCGATTGGCATTAGGGTGGGTTCAGGCATGCCGGGCACGAGAGTGGCGAACATTTTATGTACTTCATTCGGAGCATTGTCACCAAGCGCCTGATACCACAGCAGGAAGTATCTACAACGAACAACAGATTACCGTTTATCATCATTTTAGCCATAATCGCATAATATACGTTTAATTCCTCGAAATGGTTGAAGTATATTTTTGCTTTACATATTTTGCGTTAGTAAGTATAGTTTCGACTTAATAGGGAGCGAGTCTATTACAAATTACAAGATCTACTTCTAGAAAATATTAATGAAAATTTTTCAATCAAAGAGTCAAATACAAATATTTTAATAACTAGTTTTAAATAGTTTATATACCTTATAGCCTCTGCTCTTAGTTTTTGCGAGTTCCCGCTATGGAGGAGTTTCGAAAATATTCTCGTCAATGAGTGTAACTGCCATCTCTTTCCGATCAGCTCCGGCAGAAGGCATAATACTTTGTCTAGAAGGGACAATGCCCCCTCTAGCTCCTCCCTGCCCGCCTTATGTACTAGAAAACACAAGAAATCACTTAATTTCTATGCAAATGAGATAAAGTAAAGTTACCATGAGTGTTATATGAAACTGAAAACAATGTTGTTTTAATATGGTCATTAAAGAGCTATTACATTCTGTATTGTCCAACCCATTAGCCAGTGATTAGGTATGACTCAACTTTGTTATATAGATTACGAGTTATCCTTGTGTCAATATGGTTGGAATTTGTTAAACAAATAGATATTTGTTGGTTTAAAATTTATCCTCTATTTGATATAATATTATATGGAAAAGAAAATAAGCCTTATTATGGTATTTTTAGCCATTAAATTTAAATTTATTGTAATAAATATTTTAAATAAAAATGAAAGGAGGCTGTATATGGATAAAATTATCTCAAATAGAGTAGGTCTGATGTTATAGAGGTTCTAATCAATCACTTCATGACATTACATGCTTATCATCCCAGGCGTGATGAGTAATCCAGTGTTTATGATAAGTAAATGGATAAAGTAATGAGATAAGATTGTGAACTGAGAGATCAATGTGAAGTACAAAGTCAATATTCATACAAAACATGGTTAAATTTCAAAATGCTTCAGTTAAATATTGTTCAAAGTAATTTTACAAGGAAAAACAAATATATTCATGAATATATTGGAATTATACTATTTAATATACCTTTAAACAATATTTAATTAATTCCAAACTGGATATAAATGTATATTTATGGTACATGAGTGACTGTCTGATGATCAAAACACCCAAAACTCACCGAGATGAAATGGAAGTTCTGTACCGCAAAAACAGAAAAATTATAAGTAAATATGTGTGTCAATTGGATTAATGTAAACAAAGTATAAATAGCAATAGATATATTTATCAAATCTTTTCACATATACACAAGCAGGACATTCACATACATTCATCCTTCTTCGTAACATTAAAGTTAGAATTTTGTATAAAATATGGGATTATTTACAACAGCAATGTTTTTTTTAAATATAGATTACAATAGTTACCTCGTTGTCGTAAATTATTTTCAGCCTGGATGAAGTTGTCATATAATATGAAGTATACATGACTGAAGTTGCCTTCAAAGTAATTTTTTGCTTCATCGGTGTCAAAATGTTCTAAAACAAACACGACAATATAATTATTATTATAAACATAGAGCAAAATAATCTTGTGTAGCTTTTATAAACTCTGTACATTATACATGGATGTAAAATAACTGAATAACAAGAAAAAGTATTTAAAAATTGAATTTCTATTGTGGGTTACCCGTGGTATGTGAGAACAAAGATCTACAAGAGAGAATATATTTTCTATTTATAAATCTTTTCTTTGATGCCTTAAGATAAATTTTTATTATTTTTTTTAAGGTGTCAACATTTTAGTTTTAAATTATTTATATTTTTAACTAACTTCAAAAAAGGAGGAGGTTCTCAATTCAACCGAATATATGCTTTTTTATGTTTGTTTGCCGATATCTCCATTATTTATGAACAGATTTTAATAATAATTTTTTTATATACTAAGTTGTACATATTTATTTCATTTAAATTTTCTATTGTGTTTTATATACCGGCAGTCAAGACATTAATAGAGCTTAATAGGAATCTGGACTTCCGAAAGACCACTTAGCTTTCTTGGCAACTGGTAGTCAAATATTTTGTATTTCTAATAGAAAACAATTACATATCACTACCTCATGAAACAATTTAACTCATGTGTTATATCATAAACAATCACATTCTTACAGGATTCTAGTTCACTGTGACTATTTGTTTTGACTCTTAGAATTTGTATTATAAAATGTTTTATAGGCTTTTTGCATTGATTGCTGATACAAACTTAATTGTTATAATCACAGAGCAGAATTTTTTTGGCAACAAGTAGGTAAGGTCAACGTTTGACCATTGGACATGATCACCATTGTTAAACAATCTGTCCATCTCTTGACTTTACCATTATAAGCAGACAATAAGCAAAGTTCAATGACTTTGAATTCTACAACAAATTTTGGAAATGATAATAAAGTAGGTACCTATTTTGAATACAGAAATAATCAATTTATTTCTACTGCAATATAGCAGCTTTCTCCAACATAATTATTATTCTTTTTCATTTATTATGTTCCTAATATTTAAATCCACAACAGAAGAAAGACATTAACCTAGAAATGTGAAATGATCTCATGTATAGAATATTGCACACATCAACAACAGTACTTTAAACAATAGAAAATGTCATACATTGAGTCTCAGCTAAGTAATTAATTTAATAAAAATGACAATAAATACAAGTGAAACTCTAAATACTACTTCCTCGATACAATAAACAGTTGTAAGTTGAGGCGCATCAACTACAGTTATTCGCGACTAATTAGCATGTTCGGAATGTGATCGCTGTCGAACCGAATAAAACCTCACAAATCATCTCTAAATATCCCCAGAACCCTCTATTCACATAGAGAACTATAATAAATCAAATATATTCTCACCTAAAACGATTTTTAAGTGTTTTAATCGGGTTGCTGAATCCTTTTTCGAGTCTTGTATTTTAACTGTGGATTTCTTAACATCCTGGTGAGATTTCTTGGTAAACATTTCGGATGTGATATTATAGCGTCATTACGTAGATTCTTTTCATCCTTAGAATAAAAAATACAGTAATTTCACATTGTTTTCTTTAAGTTTTCACTCCCATTTTGACATTTCACTTACATAAAAATCTCGGTTGACGTAAACACTAAACGTGTGTCCGTTTCACGATAGAACTGCAAAGTACCGTTGCTTCTGTGATATTTGTAACTTCTTTTGAGACATGTAAAAAATATAAATTGTTATTATGACTACTTGAAATAGACAAATATATAAGTCTATAGTTGATAAGCTTAAAATACTGCAGTATTCTTTTTTATGCGTGTATGATCTGTATGTGATTATAAACGGACGTCATTTACGCGTCTATTACGTGGAATGGAACGTGCATTCTTTTTTTTATGAACTAAGTCAATGGTGTTTAAGCATACTGCCAAGTTACAATTTTTAATAAATGTTGTTGAAGCGACTTTACAGAATCAAGGATTTTAATGTTTATACCGGAGTATTTAATAAGTGCAACAATAAAGTACAACAGTAAAATATCTATTTCTATCCAAAAAGTAAAGTCAAAGTCAAGTAGCTTTCCTTTTGTACTAACTTGTGTCTGAATAAGTTCATTATGACTTGTCTTGCGGGTTTGATAAAATAAAAACGAAAATCCTTGCGATGTTGGTACCTATGTAGGTACAAGGACATTGAAAAAAACCCGGGTATATGTGAAACAACGACTGGGGCACGGTGACCATTCACAATCAGACGGCCAGTAAGTTTTGTTATAAGTACTCGATCGTTCCGACTGCACAGTTGGCGCGGTGGTGTTCCCGAACGGAGCAACTCGAAACAACAATTTGTGTGATTCAAATTGTTGTTTCGGGTCTGGCTGTCATGTTATGTGAACTTGTGTGTTTGTAAACGCACCCACGACACATGAGAGAACCCCGCGTGGGGCACTTTTTTTTAAATTCTAATAGTAATATGTAAGCAACGACAAGCTCGTCGTCGCCTCTCGTCAACGAAGAAGTCGTGGTTGCCGGAGGTTTAAGTCTTAAGACGCCCGACACACATGCACGAGGGTGCGGGTTCAAAACCTACCAACGGCAAGTACCAATGTGACTTTCCCAGTTTATGTAGGTACTTTCTAAGATTATTTAGACACAACCGACAAACGGTGAAAGAAAATATCGTGAGAAAACCTGGGCAAATAATTTCTAAATATAAGTTTGAATTCGTCAACCCCCGCATTAAGCATGCGTGGTGATTAATGCTCAAACCTTCTGTGATAATTTTAGTGCGCCTAATTAATTTTATTAACATTTATTTATAGTAATGAATTCAAAGAGCAATTTAATCTATCTCTGGAGCCCTAACCACAGGTAGCTTGAACCATGCTACTGGTCGGCTCCTATTTTTTATATTTTTAAATATTCATTGTTAATTTTTATTTAAAAATGTAATTTATAGAGGATTTTAAATAAATATATTGAAATTCAATAAAACAGCCTTATGAGGAGGTTAATTCAATAGACGTTTGAGTAGGGTCGACGAATAGACAAACATTAAATATATTATTAGTAGGGGTTCCTACTGATTAGACATAAGGGCAGTATCCATATTATTAAGGTTTTTGTACAGTGTGTAAGTAACTATTTTATTGGTTGAGAGGTGGTAAGTGTCTAATGTCGGAATACTCAAACACTACTCAATTTTAAGTAGCGCTTAAGTATAGTTCTGTCTCCACAAATTCTTTGTAAAATGACAGAGATGGCACGATATTTAAGCACGACTTAAAATTGAGTAACGTTTCAGTATTCCGGCATAAATGTTGTTGGTTCGATTTCTGCTAGGACTAGGGTTGTTAACGTTCAATCCAAAGTCTAATGACTAATTTTTTAACTGACTTAAAAAAGGAGGTTCTGAGTTTGACCTGTATGTATGTATGTTTGTATATTTGTGCGCGATTTTCTCGCAATTGGTTGAATTTTGATGCGGTTTTCAGAAAACTGTTTGTTACACTCGTTAGCCGAGTGGTCGCAAGCGCGACTTCCAGGCAAGGGGTCTCAAGTTCGATTCCCTGGTCGGGCTAAGTAATACAGAGTTTTCAAAAAAAATCTCAGTAGGTAGTAGCACGGAGTCTGTAAACGTGCCCGTGTATGGCAATAGGCTCACCCCCTATTACATGACTCATAACATAAATAATGAAAAGTGGGTGTTACATTGTATAGTGGCATAATGTGCGCCTCCGCCTACCCCTTCGGGGATAAAAGGCTTTAAGGTACATTAAATAACCAACGTCAAAAAAGACAGTCGATTTTTTTGAAAGTAAAAAAGAATTATTTATATTTAATTATCATGACTAACCATAGTAGACACAAAGCTCTTTTAGATAAATACATATTATTAAAAATAATAACTCGCTAAAGTCTAAATGCTCATCTCTTCGTAAAACAACCGACACGCTCGCGCTAGCGTAAACATCTTCGTGATCAGCTCATAGAGGTCTATAAGCAGTACCCATATAAACCACTTTAATGGTCTTCCACGTCCAACCACTTACGGTCAAGCTATAAGAAATATCTGCTCACAAAGTATTTGGCAAGATAACCGTCGCGATCACGTCTGCTAACCCGTTTAGGTAAAAACAAGCGTGATGTTAAGTAACCAATAAATAGTACGTAACTACGTAAGTTTGTATTGTCCAGAGATGAGCAAAAACATTCTCACTCGAAGTCCGCATTTGAAACACTTGAAATAATTAGGGAAGTCCCTATGACCAGTTCAAATAAAATAATGTTTAAATCGATAACGAATACTAATAAGTTATTTTATATATTCCCGTATTATGGCAATCCCCGATTCCCTATCGTAAAACGTAAAACTACGCAGTAGTAGGTCTTAGAAAGAGCTGTAGTAGGTATACGCAAGGCCTACCTGGTGCCTCCATACAGGTGTTGAGGGTGGCCACCCGGGTGGTTTTAGTGAAGTAAAAATCCCACACTCCTTAGCCTTTTATCCCCAAAAAGGCAAGGCGCCTTTTGAAGGTTTCCCTCGTCATAAAAAAAGGGTTACGCAGGGCCTACGCACTTGCTACGCAACGTCTACGTCGTAGCCTCGCAAGCTCCACGCAGGTAATTTATTACGATATAAATCTATTGCCAAATTACAAGTGCCCTGCCTTTTATAAACTTTTATTTGGGTTGTTTTATGATACCAAAATACAGAGTTCTATGTCACACGATGGCTCGGGAAGCACATTTTCCCACAACACAAGAACTCTGCCCTATTACATACATTCAATAATCCCAATATCTTGCTTGATCCGGTAATCAAAACATTTGACCGGTCTATTGGCACGCGGTTGCACTTGTGACCAATAAATCAATAAGGCAGAAAACTAGTATTTAATCTGTCTATGTTTTCAAATCATAATATAATAATCATTATTGGGAGTTCCTGATTAAAACCTATTATATTCTAATAGTTTTTTTATTCTATGATTGTTAGCAAAATGCCAAGCTCAATTTAAAATTATTAATTCATTAACATGAAACCGCAAGCTTAGCTTAGACGGAATTAGCGTTTATTCGCGACTTCGCGCTAACAAAAAACATTTAAATATTTTTAAATTAATGCAAGAATTTTGGGAAGTAGGTACTCTGTTACTTCTTTTAGTAATTCCCTGTTCTTGAAGATGTTACATGCCTCTGTATTTCTATGACCTATTAATGTTTTGTCTGCCTGCAACTAAATTGTCTCGAAAAATTTTACGATGTGACCAATGGAAGGGCAACTGGCTGCTGTGAAACGTGTTCCGTATTTGATTCTTGTATGGATTAATTCTATAAGTCATTTACAAATTGTGGTTCCGCGTATATGTGTACAATGTACATGATGCGAATGTGTATGTTTGTAAACGCAACCGCGACACAGGAAGATCATAGTGAGGGGTCACGATTAAAAAAACACTCACAATAGTTTTACATACCCACCTGCATTATATTAAACTAAATAGTTAGGTACTTATTACGTCAGCAACCACCAACCGGTTGCATTTATTTATTTATAGGTTAAGCCTAGTAACTAAACATCGTCTAGGTTGAATGCTCAAACCGCAAAGTATAAGAAATGTGGTGTTACGAGTCTATGTTGATAACTAAATTCATCGCTTTGTCCAATTGTTTAATTTTTGTACAAGATAACACGTAATGTGTGTCGTCATTATTTTTTGCTTCATCTATATTAGCTAATATTTAGTTATAGGTAGCGTAAATTAGCAAGAAATCTGTAAGTACGTCAAATGGTCGCAATTGATACTGTTGTAAGCAAGAAGTTTTAGTTTTATTCACCGACTAGTGAGGCGTATAAAGGTTTTCGATAAGAAAATTTCACATTACGTTGACGTTGGAGGAAAGATGAAAAATTGGGTTTATTGTTAAAAAAATAGTTGAACAAAAACAGCCGATATGTGATGTTATGCAACTGGTTATACAAATCCGTTAGTTTTACATTTTTTATTGTTTGTATGCATAGCACACTGCACTTTTGGCACAATGGAGGATACCGAGGATAACATTATTCAATTAATATTTGCCAACATATACGGAATGAGCAAATTTAAATGTACTTAAATTTAAGCGACTGCACAGATTAATTAAGCATTTAGGCAATAAATAAACCACACGATTTATAAAAATGCATAATATAACACGCATGTTTATAAGTTCATTCAACTTAGCACATGACCAAATTACACGACAAACTAAAGCGCTGTTTCCGTATTTTTATTTCGAAGATCCGTTCCACGGAATTTACGTTCAGTGTTCACATATTTTTTATCTTCGACAAACCCGTTTTAATTTGTACGCATGCATGACGTTCGTTAATTTGTATATAGCTTCGGACATTGTCTCAGAGGTGCCTAGTCGCTCTTGGACCGTGTCACAGTGTATATCAGCTTGTATTTTAAATTTAATTTTGATTTGAAGTCGGTCGACTCAACAGAATTC